GACCTTGCGCTTGCCAGGCAGGCGCTTTGCCACTGAGCTAAATCCCCAGCCCCCTACCTTTCTTTTAAGCAGAATTTGGGGGAAAGTATATCATACAAATTAAATAGTACTAATTTAGTACTTGTTACACTCAAATGTTCAAAAAATAATTGTGATCCTTGTTATTTGATTGCCCCATGAGTTCTGCTGTAGATTTATAACCAAACTCAAACATGGGTATCAAGAGAGACTGTTTCCAATCTGCAGGTGTGTTGTTGGAGAAAGCCTGAGGGGAAGTGAGTGGAGGCCTCATTAAAGGTTAGAGAGACAGACAGAGACTATAGGGTGAGGAGTGTGGAGACATGGACCCGGGCCAGCAGACCAACCATTCTCACATCCATGGGGCGCAGGGTAGATCATACTGCCCCTTTGGCCATTGTTTCTCCTACTTAAAATGTGAGAGTAAGCAGATCACCCTTTTCCACTGTGGATGTTGTGTGAACTTGTAAGCTATATTGTGGTTTAGAATTAAAGATTTTATAGTATGACACTGAGAAACTAAGTTGGAATTCAGGAAGATGTTTAGTTGAAGAATGAGTTGCTCAGAGATATAAAGAAGGAAGGTAGAGAGGGGGAAATGAGGGGAGAGGTAGAGAATGATCCCAGGGACAGTGCCTTCTACCAGTTCAATCTAGACATTACAGATACTAAATAAGTAATGTCTTAGTTACATTTTGCATTGGTGAGACAAAATACCTGACACACAAAGTTAAAGAGGTAAGGTTTATTTAGCTCACTATTTGTAGAGGTTTCAGTCCATGGTCAGCTGGATTCAAGGCAGGAAAACCTTGCAGAGGGGCATCCTAGAGGAGAAATGGTTCATGGCATGGTAAGCAGAAGGCAGCAAGCAGTAAGCAGCAAGCAGCAGCAGCAGCAAGCCTGCCTCTTGCTTTTATCCCATCCAGGCTGCCAGCCTTTAGTGTTGCTAATTCCACTCAAAACTATGCTAATTCCACTCAGTGTACTAATTTAGTATCACACACCCTTATTCCCAGTATCTCACACCCTACATCCAACCAGTTTCAAAAAGCCCCACCTATGAGCACATGAGACATTGGGGGACATCTAGATTTAATCCATAACAAGTGCCCTTTAGAGAGTAGAGGGAGGGATTTATCTGAGGTCTGTATTGCCACATCCTCAGCCCTTCTTGACCACTTTTTAGTTTATGTTTGCAATACAAAATAGTTAAATTTGTCTTGGGGAATTGGTACATTTATATAACATATCTTAATCATTTTCACTCCCTTTATCACCCTCCCTACTCCCCTCTGTCCTTCTGATTCCCTTCCCCATCTCCAAAAAGTACACCTTTAATTTCATATCTTCTCTCTTTTATTTTACTTTCATATTTTTATTTTGGGTTTCTCACATAAGAGAAACTATGCAATAATTAAATTTCAGTGTCTGACTTAGTTTACTTAACATAGTGTCAAGTTATATCCATTTGCCTGCAAATAATATCATTTTATTCTTCTTTATGGCTGAACATGTATACATCCATTCATCTGTTGACAGACATCTAGGCTGTTTCCAGAGTTTAGCTGCTGTGAATTGCACTGCCATAAACACAGGCGTGCATGTGTCATTATGGTTTGATGTTTGTAACACTTTTGGGTATATCCCCAGGAGAAAAGACTCTTTAAGTCTCTCTGCTCTTGAGGGCATTTGCTTCCAGTGAAATGCCTCGGTTTTGATTCTTACAGATCTGGGTTAGAATCCCTGCTTTGGCCTGCAAGACAAATGACTTGACAGATGCCTGCAAGGCAAATGTGTTTGTCTTTCTCAGAGTCCCTGAACCTTATCTGTATAAAGAAGTAAAGAAAGTCTGACACTGAAAAGATGTTCTTCAGGAGAAAAATGATCTTATGGTATGGAGTTTTTGCTCTGTAAATGTCACTCTTCTTGCAGAACCCCCAAATGTCTCAAATATTTCAGCTCTGGATGCTGTGCCACAGATTTTTAGCTCATGTACCCCTTTCCTGCTTACCCATTAGCTTTCTTGCTTCTACTGACAGAGCACTAAAGTCTTCTACTGTCTTCTTGGGGCCATTTCTAAAAGTATCTCCTGATCAAGCTGTGGAGCAGTTTTTTTGGGAATTGCTAGCATCACAACAGACCACACACACACACACACACACACACACACACACACACACACACGGATGGGGCCAGATCTGACCACTGTGGTGAAAAACACTCAGTGACTCAGCTGCCAGCTGGGCCAGGAAAGGCCTCTGCATCCTACCCCTTTCTCTGAAAGAAGCTTATTTTAGTGAAAGGCTGAATTCAGTGCCTGATACGATGTGCCTGATGGAGGATTGCTTGTTCTTGTATTCAGGAAGTAGCCAGCCAAGGCTGCTACCAGGTCCTGATGCTAAACTTGCACGCTGTGGATACAGAGGCACCCAACATAGACTCTGACTTATTCTACATTCTTGATAAATATCTATTGAATGAAGAAATGAGTTCAGAGTATCTCCGTTTAAGCCACTTACAGAGAAGTCAGAGGGTAAGAGAGACAGATGGACAATGGGGTGTAGTATATTAAAGTTAAGGAAGATGTGTATAGATATCTGCATGAAGATAAAAGAAGAGAGAAGACAGAAGCAAGGGAAAATGGGATGTTTGCATTAGTTCAGTGCATGGGAAGCTGTTTGGAAGCTTAGAACCTGGATGGATGAGCATCCCCGGCAAAGTCAATCATCTATAAGAGGCAGAGGTGTAGACAAATAGCACAGAAGAATACTGATTAGGTTATTTGTATGACTTCATATACAGAGCTTAGCGTTTGCTGACACATGGACCACGGCCTTGAGAAGAGAAGGGAATGTGGCTAAAATATAAAACAGTAACAGAAAAGTATGCATTAAAACAATGGAAACAAGAGCCAAGGTGCAAAGGATATAGATTTCTCTGACACTTACGTGTGTTTATTTTTCTCTCTGTTAACCTTCTAATAGAGTGATGCTAATGTAACTGCAAAGCTTAATATATTACTGATCTTATTTTTAGTTGTTTATCTTTTGACTCCTCATAAGATACATGGGAATTTGGTAGAATCTAATTATATTATTATTTTTGATGAGGTTCCTGAGGTGTAGAGATTTTATGAAACTTACTCAGGTTACAGAACGAATTTGAACTTGTCCTGAACCTAGACCTTGAGTTGCCCACCAGTGTGAAATCTCCCTACCTGACTCACTCCACTGTCAGGAGGAGCTGGTGACAGATAAATTCCAGATTATATTCCTTCTTAGTTCATTATGTTTCCATATTTGTCTTAATTCTGGACCTCCTTCCTTCCTTGCCCTCCTCATACATATAAATTAGATTTCTTAGTGATTCCAGGCATCTTGTACTTTCCAGAACCAGCCATCCCATGTTATTCTAAAGAAATAGAATGCACCATCTGGGAAATTGAGAAAAATGAAGGAACTATTAGGGGAGATGAGGGTGGGGTGGGGGATGTCCTGGTTCCCAGGGATTGAGAGCAGCAGGTAGCATGGCCACCACAGGTGAAAGGTTCAAGTAGGTAGGGTATTGAAGGAACCTCATTAAGGGTACAGATCTTGGTTCTGATGTTTTGAGAGAACTCTACTAATCTTGTTCCTACCTATTCCCATAAACAACACTTTATTTCAGGACCCAGCACTGAGTACTGACAATTGCTAGGCCTCACAGCTGACTCATCCATGGGGTTGGAGCCCAAATTGCTGCTTGCAGTGCACAACGGCATGAGCTGAATTAATGTGGAGTTTAGGTACTCACCCTAAGTCACACTGCAGGGAAAGATGGCCATCTTGAAAACTTTACTTTTCTTAAAGGTCCAGTTGAAATGATAATGGGTAGGGGATAGGCTACTTATTAGTGGAAGTATTTAAGCAGTGTCTAAAAACTTAATTCTTAATAAAGCAGTGTGTGGGCTAGCAATCGTGAGCTCTACCATAAATCAGTTTTCTGCATATTGTCTCATGATGCTTCATACCAGCTTCTGAGGCTCTTTCCATTTGGCATAGGAGTTAACCAATCTGAGGAATATCCCGTAGCTGGAAGTAATCTCATCTGCCACCTCCATCTCAGACAGGGCAGCAGTCCAGCCGACCTCACATGTACAAGAAAACAGTCTCTTATGCAGAATTATTGAGACCATGTATGTTTTAGATCACATTTATGTTTACTGTGAGTCTGAAAAAGCACCCCAGACCTCAAAAAAATGCTGTAAGTATTTATACAAAAGGGGTGAACCAAAGACTGAAATGGCCTGTGTCAACACAAATGATACTTTCTGAATTAGGATCATCACCTGTTTCTAAGGATTGAGGACACTGAAATTCTGGAAAAGTATGACTGTTCCTAGCCTTTTTCTTTAGGAAATGGCAAACAAAACTTCTCCCCTTTTTCTCTGTCCTCTTTCTCCTTTCTTTTCCTGTCTTGTCCAGAATGGCAGAGGCTGAGAGTAGTAAGTGCATGGCAGGTTTGTGCCAGTTGTGCACAAGGCTCCATGTGGAGCGTGCTCTAAGCTTTCTCTTTTTGGATGAGCTCAGCACCTCCTGGCCTGGTGGCTCCTATTAACCACCTGAATGAGAGGTGTGCTCCAACTATACAGTGACTGTTTAAACTTAAAAAATTATTACAGTACAAGACATTGCCATAAATTCCACCCAATGCCTTTTATTTCAAACCCTTATCTCGTTTTTGCCACTTCCTGAAGCAGTTCTGCAAATTCCCTTTCATGTCTTATGAGGTGTGATTTAAAAAAATATGGTGAATGCTGCAGCTGAGTGCCGTCCGACAGAAAGGCGGGCCCACCAAAACATTGCAGTGTGTCCTCACCTACTAGATTCACTTTGAGCGGCACTGTGAGACTCTGGGCTCTTCTGCAAAGTTAAAATGACTGTGAATTCTTACATGCTTTGAATCTATTCAGGACCTCAAGAGAGCCATGATAGTATAACTAAAGATACTCACAAAGGAGGACTTCGAGAATTGCTTTAGAAGTGTGTTCAAATGGGATTTTGAGGGAGATTAATAGCAGTATGGCCTTTACTATAGCATATTTTTAAAAATATTTTTAGCATTCAACATATATTTGATCATACATGCAAGGCACTTGCTGCTTTCTTAAGGCAGCAGTTTATAAATGTTGAGACTGGAATTTAAATGGAGACCTCTGTCCCCCAAGTCTACATTACTCACCCCTGTGCTTGAAAAAGAAGTCTCAGCTTAGTCTTTCTAAGGCCACTCACTGCTTTGCCTGCAAACATGCAAGGTAAATTCTTGACAAATTGATGGCTTAACTGACTGGAGATTTGAGATCTGAATTGAAAGGTGATTCTATACGTAAGTGGGATGGACGTATGGTATATCTAGGTAAAGCACAGTACACTTGTACTTAGTCACCCTATGGGGAGGATCATAGTGTTATAATCATATTTGGAGCCATGGTCAATGTTGAGGGACAGCCAGCCTTAAAAGCTGTATGGTTATAGTTGGCAGCTGGGATCCATGCAGTACTGGACACATGCGGCAGGTGGAGGGAGAGGGTCTGACGGAGTCCCAGTTAGCATGCTGGGAAAAGCATGGCTTTCCCTTTACCCTGCCCCTCTCCTTCCCAGCACTGACCTCTTTATCTTTTTTTTTTTTCTCTTTGTAGGGGGACCGAGGAGTACCTGGGATCCCTGGCTCTCCTGGCAGCCGTGGCGACCCAGGAATTGGGGTTGCTGGCCCCGCCGTGAGTTCTTATTCAGCAGACAATTCCTTGTTCTCAGGCTACACAATCATTCTCAGCTGGGTCCTGTAGAGGGAGATGTCTGGGCTCCTGCAGGGACTCCCTTCTAGCTGACAGGGTGCTAGCCACAGGGCCTGGGTCAGCAGGATGCTCTTCATGAGAATAACAGGAATATCGCTCTTGCAGAGACTTGTCTGATTCAAAGAAGGGAAGACAAATTTTACTAAAATTCAAAAAGGAAGAAAGGAAAATGTTTGGGCCAGACTTTGAGAAACTGAATCATAGCCAGTGACATTGAGATGTTTAGTACAGGGGTCTGATGGGAAAAAAAATATACTTTCATGTATTTCAGGCAAAAAAGAGTTAATTGCTCTGTTTTCTTCTCATTAGTACAGGTGACAACATAAAGAGATCATGTCTCCAAAATAAAATCCGTTAAGTGATTGTTAGCTTTAATGAATAATTCACATCAGCCTACCCAGCATGAGTTTGCAAACTGCCTGGAGGTGGTAGTTAAGAACTGCTAAAATCTTTGATTTACTGGGGCCAAAGAGGAATTTATTAGAAATTTCTTTTCATTGAGAATAGGATTTTTTAAAAAATATATTCCATCCATTGCTTCTTAATCTTTACTTTGCACCATGACAGATACATCTTTCTTTTCCACTTCATAAATGTCAGCCTTTAGAATTTGAGAAAAATTTTCAGTCTTGAGGTCTTCTTTTCAGTCCCTTCATTGTTTAAGATACCAATTCAGTGCACCTTAAATTGCTTTAAATTTTCTTGACAGACCTCTGTTACTATTTCTAAAAGAAGCTCAAGTACCTAGTCCTTTTCCACTGGTGCTGCCACCCAGCTTTGGAGTATCTGAACCACTCAGGTTCATTCTTGTTATAATTATTACTTTAATACAGATGCACGATCAAACTTTATCCCTATTACACGAACATGGATACAAATCAGAGAAGCATGTGATCCAGCCTGTCCTTAATTTTGCATTTAAGAAGTGCACGCCACAACCAAAATAATGAAAAGTGAAACCGTCCTTCATATATCATTTTCAAAGAGTAAGAAGGGAAATCCAGTTGGTTACCCATGTTATCACCTATAAAATAACCCTTATTTTATTATTTTTGGTCTTACATCCCAGGAGAGTTCTTGAGCCACTTCCTCTTTCCTCAAATACTTCAGGCTTCTGTCTTTTCTGCCTCTTTGCCCTCCAGCAGGCCTCCCCTCTCCCCAGGAGAGAGGACCACCCATTTCTACACCCAGCCACCAGCAGTGAGGGCTCCTTTCTCGATGATGAGAGGTTCAGGTGGCTCTGCATTGTCTGAAATGCCACTGGAAACTACAAGAGGAGCATGTGGAAGCCCCTGCGAGTGTCTACTTGTGTTGAATTGTTCTCCCTAAACGAAATCCTCAGCTAGAATGTCTGGTGAACAAAACCCGCCTCTGCATTCCATCAATTTCCTTTTGTGTTGGGGATTTTCTTTAGTCTTTTGATAACTGGAAAGGACCATGTGGTAAAAGATGCAGTGAAGAAACACAGCAGTCCAGAATTTCTTACTTCTGAAGTCCTTCTTTTAATAGGCCCTTATGTGCTGCAGTTAGGATTTTGATTCGTGTAAGAATTACCTCATGCAATAGAGACCTGCAGGCTTATAGCTTGGATATGGCTTGTTCCCTCACTTTATAAGGTTCTACATGTTCCGATGTACTTGTTAATGACTCCTGTGTATCAAGCTCTTAATCAGAAGGCGGGGCTGCAGGGGTGGACACAATTCATCCCACCTCCCACTTTAGAGTCAGCTAAAACCACTCAGGAAATATGTTCCTGCCTAAATGATCCCACCTGAGAAGGAATTGGCTGACTCTCACCCCTTCTGAAGCTAGTTCTCCTTCCCATGGGTCACCTTGTCTGTAGCTTTGTCAGAACAATAGGATGTACTCATTTCCATTAAGTTTCTCAAAATCAGGCATGTTAAGGATGGATCTGATCCAAGTTATTCTCCCCTTCATGCCCCTCAAGGCATTATGCTCCTGACCTCTGGTATCCAGGAGTGTCACTGCTGCCAGGGAGGGAGCCTGCGTCTCTGTCTGCTGGTATCAGCACAGGATGCACAGTGATATGGTTGTGTGGGATTTGGCTTCCTGTTTCAGGACACACACACACACACACACACACACACACGCATTCATGCACACACACACATCCTTTAATCTTCCAGTTGTCTCTGATCTTCGTTTAGCAAGGCTTAAAATACTGAAAAATGAGCTTATTCAGGCTTCAGGAAGATCAAAGTGCTAATGGGCCTCACTGATACCTGGATGTCAGGGTTTGCAAAAATCAGGCTCTCGCTGACAACGTTGTCACCCAGGCTTGTCCTTCCAGCCTGACCTTCAGTTACCACCATCTTCCCCGCACCCAGCGCAGGATCTGCACACATGGTAGGCACTCAGATTACAGGGAGTAAAGTGCACTTATTTTCGGATATACAGTGGAACCTCAAAATTCATGGGGGTTACATTCCTAGAGCACCCACAAATTGTGAAAAACTGTGATTTTCAGATATGAGCAGAAAAAAATACCTATAAATGCCTATTTTATGGTTTAAACCCTAACTGTGCTATTTCTCCTACAGTTATGTAATTTAATTGAATAAACTACCGTATTAATAAAGTCTTAGAAGGTTCAGGGCATTTTGGTAGCATCTTAGAGATCTGAGGTTTTTAAGAAGAGCAAAACCAAGAATGCTCAAGGTGAATACACATGGTACAGCAGCCTGTTACGATGAGGAGTGGTGGTGCACCTTGGAGAGATGGGTTACAGGGCAGCAGCGGATTAGTGGCAAAGAGAACTGAACAGAGCTCTTGAACTGGCTACTTGCAAACCTCCCACCAAAAATACAATTGCAGAAGATATTTGTGGTTTCCATGAAAACACAGGGGTTTCCAAGAACAATTATTAGTTAGGTTCTAAGGAAAAATTCATGAAAGACTGAGACTGAGATCTTTGAACTGCTACTTCATGGAGGTAGACTGTATTTGTATGGGGGAGGAAAAGAGAGGTGATCAAATTTCTAAGGAGAAAAACAAGTGATTCTTTGTACATTATAGTAGAGAGATAAGAGGAAGTGTTTAGCACATCTAAAACTCCATGGGGTTTTCAGTTTCACAAGCTTTCACTAATCACAATCATCAGCAAACACTAAGGGTGTGGTAGTATGTGCCTGAATATATGTATACATTTGCATATGTATGTGTGTGTGTGCTATATGTCTCTGTGTATGCATACATACAAACAACGTATATCACTTAAAGACAACGGTACTCTGAGAAATACATTGTTAGCAAACTGTCACTGAGCATCAAAGATTATACTTTGTATGGGGCTGTCAGTGTCTATGCAGGCTGTCACTGACAGAAACGTGATTATGCAGTGATGGGCTGTATATATGCATTTGTGTTATGAAAAATTTCAGATATGCTGAAAGTAAGCAGAACAGTAAAATGAACTCCCAAATAGCCAGTCCCTGTTCAAATTTCCAGTTTTTTTCAGAAATGCCATGCTTTGGCAGTCTTCTCTTTTTTGAATCAAGAGCGAAGTAAAATAAACAGATAGCAGATAGTTCAATTAGTTGATCTTTTAAAAAAGTCTTTGCCTAATGTATAGATTTCCCCTCTACTCTTTTTATTTCGTTTTGAAAATTATTTAGTGGTGAAATCAATTTTATTTTTTATTCCCATAGAGTTTCCCACAGTCTGGGATTTGCTAATTTAATCATTTAGACTGTTGTTCTGTCCTGTGATTTTAATTATTTGGTACTTAGATGGAGTAGTTTGATCAGGCTCAGGTTTGATGTTTTTTGGTAAGATCTCATGAATGGTGTGTTCTTCTGTCAGGAGGTCTGTGATGTCTGGTGCGGTCTCTTTTTTTGGTGTTTGTACCCTTTGATGTCTAGTGGTTCCACTGATTAACACATCAAGGGTTGTAAATAGGTTCTAATCTAGTTGCATCAATTCTTCTTTCTTAGCAAAACTTCTGCGTTGAGGCACACTTCCTCATTTACCCTTTGGATACCAGTGGACAATGCATATGGCAGTCTGAATATAAATGTTTGGGTCATTTCCACTGATTGTTCCACGTAATGACTTGCTTCCCAAACACTTTGCAAAGGTGGCAAGTCAGATGTTTATTTAATTACTAAGAATAATTTTTTAACTCACGGATTTAAGCATATTTGATAGGTTTTAATGTATTGCAGTTATTTTTCCTTTGGATGCTCAAATTTTTTATGCTAAGATGTCGGTCTAGTCATTTATTCAAGAAATCATAAGTTCCTTTTGAGAGAAACTGGTACTAAAAGTTAAATTGGGGTTTTAAATAAATTGAACCTCGAATAAACATATCTCAGGGCATAATCTTTGGGAAAGAGATATCTTGCCAAAGACAGATTAGGAATGACATTAGAAAGTCCTGTGTAGTCTTCCTCCATATACTTTCGTATTTGTTAAAGTTAGGCAAGCAAAACAGCTGAGGAGTTGTCCTCTATGGATCATGCACTGAGCACATTCCTCTGTTCACTGTATCTTTTATTTCTGATAACATAAGGCAAGGTGATAGCGGGTCTAGCTTTCTATTACAATTGAGAAAGCTGAAGCTTGGAGAGGCTAAGTACCTTGCTGAAGGGCAAACAGCTTATTTTGGACAGCTAGAGCCTAGTTTAATGAATGAGTTAAATGCTTAAATGGTCTTTAATTTGAAAACAAAAGTGATGGTAAATGGCATGGCAAAATGGCCCATGCCAGTAACAAACTGTGCCTTAACCTGTTTTCCTTGAAGGCCAAAGGAAAGCAGTACTGGGAACTACTCTGAGATGAACAGTCATCTCTTGTGGGTGCTAGATGATGCTAGCTGACAGGATAGGTGTAGCCATGAAGCAGAAGATTCCATGGGAGGGTCTCTATGGCTGAATGCAGGCATTGGCTAGCTAGGACCAATTCAGTTGGGGGAAGTAGATGATTCTAGAGTGGGGAATTAAACTATAAGTGTTGGCAGCAACTGTGGCTGCCAGTGAGGGTGCCAAGGTGGAATTCTCAGGAAGAATGGGCCTCTTTTTTCCTTTGAGATGCAGGGAGTAGCTTGATTTCATTTTTAACTTCATAAAAGCCCTTTTCCTGCAGTCAGGGACTGTGGCTTTTGACTAATTAATTCCCGTTTCTGACTTCCTATGTGTGTGTTGTGTACCCTTGAATAGTGGCACAGAAGACAAAGGGTGGGTGCTTCTCAGAGAGAGACCATTTAAATGCCTGCTGGCTGTGCCCCTTTTGGGAACTTAAGTGTGACTTAGCTGAGGAGTGTGTGAGGCCTCCATTATGCCATATGTTGATCACCATGGAACCACAGTTGAGGACCCAATCAGCCATCGTGACCAGTGCTTCCCATTGTTGGTACATAGACGGAGCAGCCTATTGCTTATGCTGTCCATTCCACTCACACATTCATTCAACAGTCACTCAGAGGTTAAAGATTCCAACTCCCTTCCCTTGAGGGAGTTTGGTCCTGACTAACAAGAGTTGATCAGACTCCCTTTCTCTTCAAGCTGAGCCTGACTGACCATCAGACTAACCAGGGTACCCTCGGGGGTCTTACTGGAATAAGGCAGGCAGGCAGATGGACAAACAGACAGACTGCATCCTTCTTCATTTGAGGTCCCAGATGAGCCACTCAAGTGCAGAGCTAAGAATCTTCCTCCAGATCTCTAAGGGGACTCAAGAAATCTTCAGGTTGCATCTTCCCATCAGGACTTGCAGAAGTCCTTGCTCCATCCATGAGGACCATGAGCAGTGTGACCAGAGAGGTCAGCATGGTCAGTCTTCCTGGCCAATGCACTATATGCAAGGGCCAGCAGAAACACAGAAATGACACCCAGGATTTGGAGGCAGATTTATTTGCTATCAGATGGGCACTGACTAGGGATCAATTGTTCCTCAAAATATTAGGCCTTCATGGCCCAATGAGGGAGGTTTCTATGAGGTTGCAAAGGGAGGTGGGTACAGAGATAGAGTACTTGGATGTCTTTGATTAGTTCTTACAATATGCATCATAGTGACTAGCTATGCATCACAGTAACCAGCAGTTTCTAAGAGACAGAAGCAACTGGAACTGCAACAGGAGTTATCACCTGGGCAACTGAAGTATGCTCGCTGGGGGCTATTTTCTGCTACAGTCATACTGCAGGATCTCGGTGTCTGTGTGAAAACTTTCCTCCCTATCGAGAACACTAGGGACATTCTACTGGGTTGTGCTGCAGGGGGATGCAGTGGGCATGCACTGAAGGTGGGAGGGAGGACTAACTTTACCCTGGCAAGGCTTTCTAGGGGTGGTGACATCTAAAGTGAGAACCTCCTGGTGTTCATTTGTGACAAGGATATATCTCAGCAGAAAGGCAGGACAGCATCTTCCATGCAAATGGGCAAACAAAGCCAGGCCCAGGGACAGTTATAGTTCTGCTCCTGAAAGACCTAGTGTCCATCATTTGGCTTTGGCGTGTCTCTGCCTGTCCTGAGCAGGAAGAGCCAAGACCTCTCCAAGCGGATGCCACATGGAGGAATAGGGGCTACTGGGTCCAGCCCTATACCAGAGCCATGGAGTAGAGGGGAGCACAATCTCAGCAGCCACCTGGGAACGAGAACAGAGTGGCACCACCTCAAGGACAAACAGAGGAGGTTGCAAAGAGATTTCTCTGAGCAACATTCGTGGGTGTGCAGGCAGCTGAAAGGTCGGAGGAACTAGCAACCCCTTTAGGACAACACAAGACCTGGTTTAGAAATAAACACCTCGACATGTTCAAATAAGCACTTTACTATTTCTTGATTTACTAATTTGTTTATTTCTTAGGGCCCTTCCGGACCACCAGGAGACAAAGGGCCCCCGGTACAGTATGCTTTATATAGCAGACTGGATTTTATTGGAAGAATCATTCTGTAATCCAAGCAATTTGTGTATATGTGTGTGTGTGTGTGTGTGTGTGTGTGTGTATGTGTGTGTGTGTGTGTGTGATTGCTGGGGATCAAATTCAGGGCCTTTGCTCTGATTTTGAGAAAGGATCTCACTATATTTCCTAGGCCATCCTCAAACTTGTGATCCTTCTATGTCAGTCTGCATAGTAGCTATGATTATCAGCATGTGCCACTGTACCTGGCTATTCAAAGCAATTTTCAACTGGAGACACCAAAAACTAAAATAGTTTCTTAACATTCTGAATACTGAACAGTGTGGATTCTTTACAGTATGAGCACTGATCTCTAGATTAAGATCTGGAAGCTGTAGGTATGAGTGGGAAGTGGATGGTGAGAGTCATGCAATAAATCCACTTTATAGATGGGCCAACTGAGACTGGCTTTGCTTTCTGGTGTCTCTCTATCACAGAAGGACAGGTGTGGTTTAGTGAATTTAATCAAATTGCCAGAAGAACTGATTTTGAATTCTGGTTTCTCCCACCCCTAGCCACATACCTGTGAATAAATGAGGGTATTTATCTGACCCTGTAATAAACAAAACACAGCCCAGAAGTGATTGTGGATATATGATGGGCTCACTTTATGACAAAGTAACAGGGGAGATCTCAAGAAGCATTTGCTGTAAGAGTAGCAACCATGGGCAACACACACATGTGCCTACTTCCTGGTAAAATGTGATTTCTTACATGCTCAGTTTCCCATGAGCAGCTGGGGTGAGGTTGCACCTGTCCTCGAGGGCCTATTTTGTAAATTGTCTTCATGCATATGATTTGTGATTAAGGAGAATGGGAATCTTTCTACCCATTTTTGTAGATGAAGAACTTGAGGATCAGAGCTAATAATTGATAGGCTTAGAATTCTAGGAGTTGTTGCAATGTATATATAAGGAAGATTGGACCCTACATGAAGGGCTACCCATGAGGAAAGACCTGTGAAATCCCAGAAAAGGATGGGTTGGCTCCTGTAGCCTACACCTGGCCCCTGAAGGGAGAAAGAGCTGACTTTCATTTGCAGATCTCCTTGAGGAAAAGTCTTCTAACTAGTGAAATCCCTAATAAAAGATATTTGTGAAATTTTCTGATGTTATTCAGAAATTATCAACAGAATGAGAATGACTTCTTACTATAAAAAGCAGTAAATATTGTGTAGGACAGAGCTTTGCCCTGGGCCTTGCCTAAGGAACACATTTAGCCAATTAACAGCCCTCAGGGTTGGTGACACATTGTGTGCACAGGGGAAGAGCCATTGTATCATCACATGTGCTGATGTCAGGGGAAGACTGAAGCTTGGAGCTGGGCCTGGATCACCCGAGGGGTTGTCCCTAGGGCTCAAGCAAGGAACCAGGGATTTCAGGCTCAGAGTGTAGGTTTTCCTGAGCATTCTCAGTGTGTGGAGCACGCCTACCTCCACAGAGTGCCGTGACTGAGTGAGGCCCGATAGGGTGCTTTCTGCACATGCGTTATGTTGGATTCTCACTGTAGCTGGCATTTGTGCTTGGATAGACAAGTGTGGCCAAGTAAAGGGGGTCTTATTTGCTTACATTTGGTGGTGTCTTTTTCTCTTTCATCAGGGATCTCGAGGATTGCCTGGATTCCCCGGTCCCCAGGGACCAGCTGGCCAGGATGTAAGTAAAGAGAAACACCGTGGAATTAGTTAGGGTTTTAGATTCACCCTAGGAGGCCACCATTTCCTGGCCTCCACTGATCATGTGACTAATTTTGTAGCCAAGTTTAGATTTCCAGGAAGCCTAGGGTCTTCATTTAAAATGTTTTTTCTGTTCTGTTGACTGTGACATGATTTTGTACTGTCCACTTTCTTTTTTTTCCTTGTATTTCTGTGTTATGCTTTCAGAACACTGAACCTCCTGTTCTCTATTTGTTTTCTGTCTCTTGGTCAATTTTCTCACATAGCTGCCCATCAGGAACCACCTTCTCTGTGCACTTCTTCACAATCTTTCCTGGAATCACTCCCTCCCTTCAAGGCATGTTTGATTCTTAATGAAGATGCATCACTTCTTACAGAGCGCTCTTCCCAGTCCTCCTCACCACCCAGGAAGTTTATATTTGTAATCCCATGAAATGTTATTGGAATTCTAGTGAGTCAATTCCAATCTACCACATCCAGTGCAACCCATGGCGAGAATAAAGACACTAAGACATATTTGTAGTCATGGGGAGCCAAGGGGTCCTAAATCCAGCCGCAATGATAGCTATCTGGAACAAAGGCCTATACCCAGGACTGAACCCAGATTTTATTCATTTGTGAAGAAAGGAGTGGCTTGAGGATGAGTGACTGTAAGAGTGGTGGGAAGTACATGAGTGCCATGAGATGGGCTAGGTAGGAGGCCTGAAATCACATCTGCCATATGCAGAGAGAAGGATATGCAGAAAGAGTAATCTGTATAACTCAATTGACACAGCATCTAATGTTTTGGGGTTGGTGCTTCAGCTCTGATGTGTAATCTTTGAAGCCCCAGGAAGTCATAGCCTCTATTCCCAAGGCTCAATCCCAACCAGCAGCATGGAGCATTGGTTCACACATCCCACCTCATCCCAGCTCACTGGAGGGAGCAATTGGAAGTCTGGGAAACACACCTGCCACCTCCAAAGATTACCATCAGCACCTCCGCTAGACTGATATGCATTGCTTAAAGCCAGTTGAAGGGGTAAAGAAAGTCCTATCTTGCTGTGTACATATCAATACGTGGAAATAGGGTCAGGCTCAGCTGAAATGGAGCCAATTGCTCCTCTTTCAAGGAGAGTTGCCTAGGTGGTCCTCCACAACTTCCAACTTTGTGACAATAACAGTTTTATTATCCTCACTATCTGGCTTTGTCCAGGTAGGTCTGAGCTCTATGAGTCGTGTTCCTCTGTAGGTCCTTGGTACTCAGCAACATGTATGCACAGAAGTATTAGATTCATCCTTGGGCAGTATTTCACTGACCAAAAGGATAAACAGCCCCCATGAGTTCTTTTTTTTTCTTTTAAAGAGAATAATAATAAAAATTTTAAAAAAGAATAATCGCAAAATACCAACAATATCGGCAAAAGCAAAACAAAGCAAAAAACAATAAGAATGATACAGAGTTTCAGAGCAAAAGGATAGGAATTAACAGTGGTTGTTACATTATATATTGTTATCTTCAATGAAGTTGCTCAGATTACCAGATGTAAGAATGCAAGCCATGAGTTCTTACAGGATGCAGGTGCCTGACACTAGTGGGTAGTAGTGTTTATGTTTATGGCATATATGTATCTTTGTAGGGTCATCTCCCATTTTTGGTTCTAGTTTGAAAAATAAAGTTATCCCCTAGTTCTTGATTCCATATGTTCAAGTTTACCTGGTTCCTCTCAACTCTGTGTTCTCCGTAGCCAGCCCCATTGTACTTCTTTTCAAAGCCAGTCCTTCCCACCACTGTGTCTGGAAGAGGACCAGAAAGGGATAGGATGGCTTCTGTGTACCTGTGTGTGTGTGTGTGTGTGCCTGTGAGCCCACACTTGTGTGTATGAGCAGGTTTTAGTTTCGACTTTAGGGCAGGAGTTACAGGCAGCATAGCTCTTTTCTAAATGCTTGCTGCCTGTTGCCTGATTTCTGGGAAGCCCTGGAGATTCAGCTGAGATTGGAAATCATGAGTTTTAATCAGTGCCAGAATTTGTATTTGGGTGATTGTTTTTCCTACTGAGTCATACGCTTCAGATAGAGAAGGCAGCAGAGGCGTGGGTAGAGTGGGTTGGGATTACACACTCTTCACAGCTAACGCTTGTTTTCTTTTGTCTCTTAGGGTACACCAGGAAGTCCAGGAGAGAGAGGGCCTCCTGGGAAACCAGTATGTCACCTTGGAGTTCTGTATGGATGTTGATTATCAGTCAGGGCTCCAGCATAAACTACAGTGCAGCTCAGACAGTTGGAGAGGCTTGGACAAGGGGAAGTTTTATGAAGCTGTGGGCAGAGGGAACTAATACGGGATACTATGAGACTTAGTGATAAGCCACAGCGGGTAGCCGTGACACCACCGTGCCTATTTTCCAAGCCAAATGAGCTTTAAGATGTGGAATGAGAGATGTAACTGTGGGTTCAGAGCCACTGCCAGAAAGCTTAGCTTGAGACAAGGAGGAAACATTCATCCCCTCCAGCTCCTGACAGTGCCTCCCTTTGATCCAGTTTAACTGTAAGCCAATGGGTACACAAGTCTGGGCTATGTTCCCAGGGTCAAGCCTAGCATGGAACAGGACAGAAGAGGGTAAAAAATGGGTCCTGGGTGAGACAGTGGACAAGAGAAGCATCCGCTGCAAATTCCCACCTTGCCTGTTCCTTGCTCCTTGGCTGGGTTGCCAGTGGCCACCGTATAAAGTAACAGAATTGTTCTTTCTTGTGTCACATGAGAACAGTGGAAACTGTGAAAGCTTGGACAAACATAGACAGCCCTGAATGCTAGGTCCCCAGCAGTATGGCTGAGGATCATACAGAATTTCCCTGAGTTCGTGGCCCCTTATCTTCTGAGTCCCCCTCTGACTGGTTTACCAGAGCCTGAGAGGTCCCCAAGGTTTAGCCAGGTGACCAGACCATGTGTGGCCTTTCTAGGAAAGAACAAGGGGAAGAGCAGGCCTGGGTGGGGGCGGAGGAAGCTGCTTAGATGTGGGAGGAGTTAATCCATTACAAGATGCTATCAGGATGGACAAGACAGTGGCCACTGTGACTGGGGCATCACAGGCCTCTGTGTGAGCACCAAGATACTCATCTGGAAGAAGCTTCACCTGGGGATGGGCCTGAGAGGTCTCTCGTCTCCTTTCCAGGCCTGGTCAGTTACAGGACCCAGGTCAGATAGGACCCAGGATACAGAGGCTTCTGTGGGTCCAGACAACCATCCCTCTGATATCTGAGGTAGTAGGTATTTAAAGCCTGGGAAAGGGTCTTGGTCTGTCTGTAAAGATGCTAAAGGTTTTCACTGAAGATCTTCCAGTGGGAGGAGTGGAAAGTCTTGGTGGTGGTTAGGGATAAAGCATCCACTTACCTTTCTGGAGTCAGCTCTACAGCAGCTAAATAAGACTCTAAGAACCCACATCATTATCCCAGGGGCCCCGTAAAATGGGTGGATAAGAGTAGGGCAGGTCAGAAGCCAGATGAAGGCTCAAATGATGTCCACCACATCCAGAGGGTTCTTGAGATGCCCTGCTATGAGATTTGAGTGAGCAGAGTCTAGGTGCAAATGTGGGCAGTCGTGAGTGTCTCTCATCTGATCACCACAGAACATAGCGCTATGGAGAGAAAGCTGGAGAGAGAAAGGAGAAATCGGGTGGGGGTGCTTGGTATGGTGCTACATGCCTTGTAATACCAGTACTCTGGAAGGCTGGGCCTAGTCTGGGCAACTTAGAAATTTAGCAAGACCTTGTCTCAAAATAAAAAAGGAGGGCTGGAAATGTAACTTTCTGAGTAGTCACCAGGAGCCAAAGTGATGTTGTGTGGCCCAAGGCCCCGCATGAATCATGATGTTGGCATTAGCTATCTGCCTTGCTGAAGGGCCCAGGTAAGCAGACACTCTAACCAGGCCCAGTATCCCAAGGGCTTAGAGGTGGCCCCTAGGAACCAGCCAGCAGCTAAGTATTTATTTGGGATGTGTAGGGTTTGTGGAACTCAGGCTTCCTGAGTTAATATTTTATTGTACAGTCATCCATTCTCAGTGGGTGTCATGGGTGAGCTAAGTGTTTTCCCAATGCCAGATCCCCCTGGGAGAAACTGCCAGGAAACCCCTCATCTCTGGTTAGTTTTCTGGAGGCAAAGGCTGCCCTGGGCATTCTTGCCCCAGGGGTGGGCTGGGGGAGGACTTGAAGGTGAGATCTGCAGGGGTGGAGAGAAGAAAGACATGACCACAGAGAGAGCCCACTGATGGTGTGGGTCCAACTCAATCCCAGCCACAGTCCCATCCATGTGGGGCTCGAGTGTGGAGGATGCCACAGAGCTGCCCAGCCTCCAGGTAAGACCCACCTCTGGCCCCATACCACTCACTGGCTGTGTGGCCTGGAATTTCTAGACAGTGTTCCTGCACCAAGACAAGGCTTAACAGCAATCTACTGTGTGGGATTGACTCCCAAGAGCTGGAAATGGCTATCTGCTAGCATCTTGTGTCTACCGTCCCCAGGCCATGACCTAACCACCTCCTTGAGACCTCCCTTATGAGGTTTGCAAAAATGGGTCAGAACAAGCATTAGCAAAACCATCTTCAGGGCCACACTGTGGGCTGGCAACTCCTCATTCTCTGTCCCTCTCCCCCACCCCCCGACCAATGCCCAGGAACTTTGTCTAATGGAACTCACATTAGTTCGACAGTGTAAATATCCCAGATAATACAAGGCTGACACCATAAAAATGTCCCAGTGTGAACGCTATAAAACCCTTACTGTTGTTAACCTCTCCTCTTCAAAAAAATAATGAGGTACTATTGCAAAGATTAGCCTTTCTCTGGAGTCCCCCTCTGATAACTAGGGAAGTTTCAGCCTTGTCTTTAGCAGCTGCGCGCTTAGTGGGTTTTGTAGCATGCTGGTAATTCCTGCGTCACTTCTCAATCTGGGTTATAGCCCCAGTTTTCTCTAGGACCCCCTTCTTGAAAGAGCCTAGAGAGTTGATAAAATTTCGGAGTTCATCAGCAGGGAAAGTATAGCTCCAGCTCCACCAGCTGTTACCTTAGGCAGACATCTTACCTGTGGGGTAACTTGTCAGCCACAGGTGGGACAGAAACTGCAGGGAGCCAGAAAAGAGGGAACAACCAGAAGAAATGTCTTGGTTTAGAAATCTCCATGATGACAGACTGCTCAGATTTCATATAATGAAATTCAATAGGCAGGAATCATTCATCACAAGGGTAATAGCTGAAAATATTGGTGTAAATTCATAGTAGGCTGTAAATGATTGATAGCAACAGCTGTTTCCCATCAAGAAAACCTCAGAATGGCCCAGCATGCAGATAGTCTTCTCCTTTACCACCAAACTTTACCTCAGAGTTTGGTGAGGGGAGGGAGAAAGGTCAACCGGAGAAGAGAAGGGGCCAGCAGAAGGACCTAGGACAGCAACGGTGCTGTTTGTGTCCTGTGCATGCAGACATGTTCTGAGCTGTACTTTACACTTTGAGAATCACTTACTTTCTAAGGATGTGCAGAACAGACTGGAAGTTTGCATGATGTATGTATTTATTTGTTTTTGTTTTGACAGGGCGCTTCTTCACTACTGTCCCCGGGCGACATAAATCTCTTGGTTAAGGTAAAAACATACAGTCAATGTACATGTGTTTTGAAAATGGTGATGAGGGACTAGAGATAGGAATATTTTTTCTCTGCACAAATATAATATTAACAATGTGAGCATTAATATTTGTTGGAAATTTATATGCTGAAGCCATGCTCTCCAATACAGCAGCCACTGGCTGTGTACATCTATCTCAATTTATGTGAATTTACAATTAGGTACTATTTAAAAATCAGACCCTTGGTCACACTGGCCAGTTTCCATGTGCTTAACAATTGCATGCGGTTGGTGGCTCCTTTATAGGGCAATGCAATTACAGAACAGAAAGTTCTGGATAGTGCTATGCTAAATTTAAATTTTCACACAATAATGATAATAATAATGATAATAATGTTCCTGTTCTTGCTTTGCATATTAAAACACTATTGGGATCAATGAATAAAGCAAAATAGACTCTCCTAGGCACAGAACCCAGTCCTCAGTGGTCAGAGGGTGTCTTGGCCCTGCAGCTCTGCTGTGTGCTCTGAAAAACGCTGGGGGCAATATAGTCAAACAGCCTGTCTGTGGGTCCTATGGGTCCAGAGCCAGAAGCAGAGGCTCCAAGAGGTGAAGCTGGCTGCTGAGCCTTTGGCCAGGTTGAATCAGATCTTCTGGTTTCTACAACTATGTTTGCGCTCCCTGTGGGAGGCAAGGACCTTGAGAAGTGAACATACCTGGAAGGGATAGGGCAAGGTGTGGCTGGGGTCACACTTGAAGGGTTGATTGCGGAAGTAACTAGGTCGCTGGCCAGAGCTCAGTTCTTAAATGTTGAGGCACTGGGCAAGGCTGCGCTCAAGAGAACAGGGAGGATTTGTTTCAGAATGAATAGCAGTGGCTGTGGGTATGGTGAATCCTTTGTTGTCTCTACTTCAAGCAGTTTTTCTTGATTCTGGGTGAAGCTTGGCACTGGATTTGGTGTGATTGGTCCTTGCCTCATTTCTTTTATTCTAAAGATCACTGGATAATTTTAGAAAATCCCTAGTTCATGAATGAGACCAACAGAGGAAAACAAAAACTTTCTCAAAGGCTTGGGACTTTTGATGTCCTATACATGGAGATGCCTTAGTGGAAAATTACATACTTTATTCAAATGAATAGTAGAACAGTCTTTACTGATTTTTATTGACAAGTGAAATAGTTTTTTTCACCATCAAGGACATGACATGAAATCATTATATATTGATTCAATCCCTTGTTTATTATAGGCTTTTATTAACTTGGATCATTTTTCATAATTCTGTCACTCTGAGGAAGTAGGATTGCATCATCTGCCTCTCCCGGAGGATTTCAACCTTAAGATTTTCCAATTTTTCTGGCAATAATAACAGGAGGGAACTCGCTGAGGGTGAAGCTTCACAGCTCACAGCCACAGCACTGCGACAGTATTTAGTCAAATAGATATTTTGCAGGACCAAAGGGTGGAGCTCATTCCTCCAAACAGCTGAGTCCTCCACAGACACATGAACACCTGTGTTCAGGCCGGGCCATCATGACTCCCTGGTCTTACAGAGCTGCATGATGTGTGGCTACCTGTGTGTTACAGTCTGGGTGAAGTTCTGCAGACCTGGCCATCTTTAGCTCCCTGTTGCAGTGAGCTGCTGCTGATCTGATGCTATAGGTGAAACCCTGCTGATGTCCTCTAGATGAGGGTGGCAGGTACCTTTCTTGCTGAGAAGCCATCTTTTATCACAGAATATTTACCTTTGCCCCAGAGAGTTTCATCACACTTCTCATTCTGATAGTTGGAATTCTGCTTGTGTAGAAAGTTCATCTTCTCAGAGTCCTGGGTAAATGGACTTTCAGAGTTATATCTGTGCCCAAGGAGGCCAGCTTCAGGATGTCTCTATGAGACAATTCCCTTGCATAAACATTTCATCCAGACCTCACAAACCTGCAGTTATGTTGCATTACTATCTCCATCTTACAGATGAGGAGGCTGAGGCATACACAGGCAAGCTGCTTGCTGAAGGCCACAGAGGTGCATAGTGGCAGAGCTGAGAATCAAGCCCAGTGTGACCAGATCCAGAGCCCCTGTTTATAATCTCTCTGCCATCTGATTTGGTCATAGAGTGAGCAAAAACTTCATGCCAGCTCTCTGATGAAATGCAGGCAAGGATTTCATTGCCTGTCACTTAGAGACTTTGAGATATAGGCTGTAGAACCCTTTGGAAGGAATGTTGTAGTGAGGATTCATATGTCCAAATGACCTGGAGGTTATTTATATCCCTGGGAAACAGTAATTACATTTTTTCACACAGTAAAGACTGGAGCACTCCTTATTTATAGGCATCTTATGGAACGTGTATTTCCTTGGTCTGCTGTACTACACTAAATACTGCATAGAGTGACAAAGGGAGCTGGATTTGCTGAAAGTATCTCACACAAAAGGAAGGTGTACAGATTGGAGGAGAATCAGCATTTGTAAATAACACACGATGAGTTCTGAAACATGCTGGTCACTTTATATGTATTATTTAACTTAAATTTTGTAATGCTGTCCTAAAATCAGGGAATAATCTCTGTTTACATATAATAAAATAGACTCAAAGTTATTGAATGACTTGCCAGAGATAACTCAAGAAGCAAGTGTTGATGGTCCAGAGCATTTAGTCTGTGAAGGAGGCAAGAGAACAATTTAAGGAGTAAAATAATAACTGGAACAATCATGGCACAGGTAGCAGCTAAAACTCGTTGTGGTTTTGGTGCACAGTGTGAGTCATTTCCCAGTCCTTATCTCACTTACCAATGGACTTTGTGGTCCTGGTGTCACAGATAATGAGAGTGAGGCTCAACTAGATGAGGCCATGATGCCAGGCTTCATTTGAGTCTGGACAAGCCCTGTCTGTTTGGAAGCAGGACCCTGTCCAGTCTCAAGGAATTTGGAGAAAACATCAAGTGCCCTTGGGAAGGGCCATGTAGAATCAAGAAGGGTGCTGGGAGCCCCGGAGCCAACGGGAGCATTGGTGGGACAGTAGTGGGTGCTGCTGTCATCCCCACTTACTGGACACCCAGCTGAGCCAGTGTGATGTGCCCAACACTTCACTGGCACATTTTGGGCTGCTAAAAGCTGTGCCCTTCAGGGACAAATTGCACAGTGTGCAATTAAGACAGGTGACAGTAAGATCCCTACTAGAAATTGAACAGAAATTTGAAAGTAGCAAGAATTTGTTTTGTTCAGATGCAAACTCTTGACGCTGTGGGTGTTACAGAAAGAATGGCTTCCATTCACCATTGCACACCCCAAGTCCAGACATACCTCAGTGGCCAGAATTATTCTGTCATTAGGCTAACTTCATTCCTGCTGACCATCCATCCATCCATCCATCCATCCATCCATCCATCCATCCATCCGTGGGTCCATCCATGTATCCATTTATCCATCCATCCATTCACCCATTGTTGCAGTGTTTTACACCAGCGTCTCATTTTAAAGTACTTCAATAGAGGTCGAGAAATAAGCGAGTTCCTCCTTCCTCTGCTGTTTTTTGAAACAATCAAAAAACAGCAACCACAATTACCTTCAACTTATTCACTCTTCCTTCATATTATCACAATGTTGAAAACTTCTCACCTTCTGAAACTCCAATTAGCTCCTCACTGTTGGAAGGTTGCACAAGACACCAAAAGGCCAGGTTGTCCATTGGTTGGTTTATTAGTTATTGCTTGTTGGTTGGTTGTGTTGCCTGGTTTGTGTGCTTACTGGACTTACCGACTGTGGGAGACTATTTTTTATGAATTGGATGTGTGAAGATAAAACAACTTTACGTCTGTGCTATGGGAGCTTACACTTTCCTTCTGGCTAGTGGGGAAAGGATACAGTCATAAACAGATTTTTTCACCAGTAATACAGGTTTTTCTGTGGTGGGGATTCCTGAGGTCCATGGTAGCATAAATGAGCTTGTACTTATCCTGAGGCCATCAGGATGGTTTCTTGGAGTCAGATGTTCCTAAAGTATCTTTAAAGATTAAGTTCAAGCAAAGGAAGTGAAAGGAAGGGCGGCCATTTGGGGTTGGTTTTGTGGTGGAAAAACTTCTCATTCTGAGATTAGAGACTAAGAGACCAAGATGAAGCTAAATCATCTGAAGCTGCACCTCATGTAATATGAAGTGTGTAGCTGCCACAGGCCTTTGCAGCTGCCTCATTAAGAGCCCTTGGAAGACTTTGGTGCATTTCCTTTGTGTTGGTTGATACCAACTAACCATGAGCTCATGATAAACACTCACTGTGATCTCAGCTCGATACAGTGCCTAACACCCAGCAGACGTTTTGCAAGCATTTTTGGAAAGAGTAACTTAGTGAATAATGCATTAATAACAATAGCTAAATGTGTTGGACATTACCTATCTTGGCATTATTCTCATGCCTTATTTATATTATCTTGCTTAAATCTTATTGCAAGGATAGAGGAGGGAAGGAGAGAAAGGATTAGAGAGAAAGGCTTCATGAAAGTAATCTAAGAGGTAGGCATAGGAGGTAGGCTTAGCTGAGTCTCACCTGCTATATGCTGTGCTGAAAACTATATGATCCAAAGATGCCACAGACAAATCAAGAAGCATGTTCCCTGGGCTCTCATTTACTCTAACTTTAGCATTTACCTGCTTTGAAGAAGCAGAACAAAGCTAAACTCCAGAGAACATTTATTAAATGCTTCCCTTGGGCAAAGAATAATTTCAGTCATGGTCATTGCTTGGGTTGTGTGTCACAGCAAGAACATCCTGAGAGCCTGCCCCTCTTGCTCCCTCTGATCTCCTTCTTTCTTCTGAAAACAGTGTACCGAAGAAAGTACACCAGGTATTTTAGGCTCTAGCTTTGTTTGACTCTAGCTTTGGGGACAGTGGGCACTATTTTTAGTAATACTAAATGCTTGCCTTCAATCTGCACTGTTAATGCTTTTTTAATGCTCACAGGTAGTTTTCCATGCACTGTTGACATCACTTTCTCTGGCTGTACTTCCAGCTGTCCAGTTGGCTAGAAGTAGGGAGAAACTGAGTAATACTCAGTGCGGAAATGCAAAGTCTTGACACAAAAATATCTGGGTAATGTCTTGGTTTACTTGTTTGTTTTCTGTCTTTTTTAGTGCTAAAAAACAAAACCTTCACATAGAGAGGTAGGATCTAGGGCCATTTTTCTTTTCAAGCAACTATATTACTTATTCACTTTCTCTCTCCTCTCTTAGGATGTATGCAATGATTGCCCTCCTGGACCCCCAGGGCTCCCTGGTCTGCCAGGGTTTAAAGGAGACAAAGGTCTCCCAGGAAAGCCAGGAAGAGAAGGCATGGAAGGGAAAAAGGTAAGGAGAAAAGAGAAGGCTTAGTCTTTATCTTTGCAGTGAACAATATTCTGGGGATCCTGACACTGATCCTCATGACTCTGAAAGGATTAAGGTTTTGAAGGACTAGAGATACCGGGGAAGCATGCAATTGAATGAACAGAGCTATAGGAATAGTAGTGACTTGGCATCTATAAGTTGTTATCATTTTAAGAACATGTTGACTGTGATATTCCAATACATGTTTAAGCCTAGAAATTCAGAGTCACCTTTTTGACTGACTTTTCCTCCTTTCCTTATTTACTACTTCCATCTACCCAACAACTTTGACAACTATGTACTAGGCACCAAGATAGGCCTACCAGCTTCTTAGATCTGTCCACTCACCCACCTCTTCCTAGCTATCCATCCATCCACCCATCTGTCCATCCACTTCTATGTCATCATCTGTTTTTGACACTCCATTAAATGTGTCCTACCTATCAGTGAATGTGTCAACACAGGAGAGGCCTAGAAGAACAGATTGAGACCCTGTTCTCATGCAGCTTCTGGGGGTGGAAGGTTGCATATAGGGTATAGGGGATATAACTCCAAGTAAAATCTTCCCCTGAGTGAGAAATCCTTTCCATAAAGGTAGAAGAAAAAGAGCACAATCATATAGAATAAACATTAACCCAGAATGTGATGTGTAGTCTGACAAAATATTGCAAAGCCAGAGAGAAACCTCACTCTTTTTGCTATAAACATCTATTTTATATACTTTTACGGTAAGCAATAGCTAGTTCTCAAGGAGAAGGACACAGTGGCACCATTTGTCACACATGTACATCCTGAATTCACTTGGTAGTGGGGTAGCTATCTGTCAGATCATTGGACTTATCCTAAGGAAAGATAAACATCTTCCATCTGCATGACAGGAGGTAATTTTGCAACTTGGGAAGAGGCTCCTACCCACCTCACAGAAATTGGGCCACAGCCATTATCTTTCCTGCTGATTATATTCTGAAGAGATAGATCCTAAGCCCTTCAGAAAAACATTCCTGGGTTGTAAAGCTGGAAAGAGCCTTATTTGGCTTTTGAAAAGAGCTGAATATATTTTAAAGAGAGAGAACTCACAATGGCAAGTTTCCTAAAGTGAATGTTTACATGGGACAGAATCAAATTCAGCGTGAACTTAACCTTTGTTCTTGTCCCTTGGCCCTTAGCCAGCACCTGTTTTCTTTCCAGCCACAGCCGTGCAGGTGTTTTTAGGATGTGTGTGCCAGGACCCAGAAAGTCCTCCGTGTGCTCTGGAACCCTGAAGGGGCCAGGAGACAATTTTAAAAGTGATTCGACTAAGAATACTTTCACTTGATTTAATCCTGCTGATCAAGTTATTAATAATAACCATTTATTTGATATTTGGCCTTTCATGTTTCACATTTTATGGGATAGAAAATAGATGTTTGGATGTTTTTGCACGCATGTTATGGGTATTTCCCTTAGCCTACTATTAAAATATTCGAAAGACCATATAGTTGGTTAGGATGGGTAGGCCTTGGACGTTGAGCAATCTCCCCCTCAGAATGGTTCTCTGGGTGGCTGGCAGCTCCAGATCACTTTGGGACATTTTTAGATAAACATTTTCAGGATTGTCCGCCAGACCCCATGAATCAAATCCCCAAGAGGGAGATAAGCATAATACGTGTTGTGATATAACAATGACAGCTCAAGCAGTTCTGAAGTTCAGAATTATTCTACCCTTCCTGCCAGGATCTGGCAGGTGACTAAGAACCACCTTCTCCCAGATGCTCAAAATTGTTTCTTTTCTCTTTATTTTTCTTATGTCCTTGCTACAGGGAGAAGCTGGACCCCAAGGCCTCCCAGGGCCCCCAGGAATAGCTGGACCTCAGGTCAGTAAGACTTCATAAACATCTCTAGTCATCCATTCTGTTCACCTCGATGATTCACCTAAGTTTGAGGAACAGCGATAGCCAGTATAAAGGAATGGTGATCTTACAGTCAGAAACCAGTGTTCCAGGTTTAATAATGGCGCTGACCATCCTAGTGGCCTTGGGCAGGGCAGTTCTTGTGAAGTCTCAGCTACTCGCTTACAAGCACCTGAGTGCTACGAAGCATAAAATACAGGTAGGAACTGGAATGTGTGTTGCTTACTGACTAAGACCTGACAGACACCTCACCTTCACCATCTATTAATGATAAAATTAAAAACATCTTCTACTGTATGTTAGAACTGAACAACAAAATGCATAACAAGAATCTGGCACTCAATAGAAAATGTCAGGAGAGTGCTTTACACATGCAGATGGGCATTGTCATTCTCATGTGAATGACAAGGTTGCTGTTTACACTCAGTAGCAAGTGTTGTGGCTTCACAGAGCCAGAGAGGCCACCTGGGAAGGTAGGAGGTGAGATCTCAGCCACAGGGCAGACAGAGAAGCACTCTTCAGCTGTCAAAACAAGTGTGGGGGCTATAGCTGTCTTGGCTTTGTTAGTGATAGCATTTAGCTCTGGGACGAGATGGCATGCCTTTCCAGTCATTGGTACTCCCCTCTGGGTCCTCCCTGGCTCCCTGTGGCTTTGTAGCTGCTGCGAACTGTGTACATCCCATAATACTTTCTCCTCTGGCCTGGCTCGTCACAGTGAGTGGCAGGATGAAGTTTTCACTAGGAGTGAGCAGAGTGTCAGAAGTCAGAGCGTAGAGCTGGAATCCTGTCGCAGCTCTGCGCCCTTGGGAGAGTTTCTAAGACTTTCTGCTACTTCTTTCCCATGAACTCAGCAGTGTCCAGGAGCAGCGACCTTACAGCTTATCACTGTGATGACTGCAGGTGAAATGCGCTTGTCAGTGGCTGCCGCACTGAAAGCGCTCAGACAACATTATTACTCTTTCAGTCCCTGGGTCATAGCCTGTGACAGAGCCAGGACTGTTGTGAAGACTTGAGAACAAAGTATAGGGGAAAATCAAATATCTCTATAACTAACGCTGTGTTTTTCAATATAAAGGTAATGCAATACAGGCATGAGAAACAAAATAGCAGATTTAAACTACAGAACCCAGGCTTACACTTGAATGTCTTCCGTTGGTAGCCTTCCCCTAATCACAATCTGTTCAGATCTCTCTGTTTATCTACATCTTAATGTTTTGTTCATCTTGGATTCTTTTTGATTAATTTTGACTTCTTAAAGGATTTACTGGAATATTATCTATCCTAATGATTGAGGTTTCGGAGGCCAGGGATAAATATTTCACTTGCCTTGCCCTATGAAAAGCTCTGGAAAATGATGGTGAATATATTATTATTAAAAAGCAAACTAACACACAAAACAGATGATGCTACCAGAGCCAGACCCGTGTTGGATCAGGATGGAAAATGTTTATGCTCCCAGGCCCTGGCTGGAAGGTGGAGATGTCTAGCGTTTGCGATACATAGATTTTGTAAAGATTAGAGGTTTTTGATGCAGCCAAGACCTGTGCTTCTAAAACCACAGTGATCAAGCCTCAGCACAGATGGAAAAAGAGATCTTGCCTGGGGCAGTATTAGGTCCAGAGGCACCGAGAAAGAGCAGCGCTGAAATCTTTGTGCTACTCTCTGAGCACCACACTCCCTTCTGGGGTCATGAATGCAGATGTAGCTACTCCTTTGGAGAATTTTTCAGACTTATAATTTCAGCTGATCCTTAATGAACTCTTGCTGTTAATTTGCTGGCTAGTGGGTGGGTTTAGCTTCTGCAGAAGAATAGCTTTTATTCAGAGAAATAGAATGAACTAAACAGATAAAGAGTTTCCTCCACTAACAATGTATTCTTTCCTCTATCCTCCCAACCCTTTGTGAAGCGCTGATGATTTGAGATAATGCCTCTGTCATTGTTCCTTTATAATTTGCTTCAAGCAAAAAGGTGGAAGACGGTAAGGGCTTGCTCCTTCCTTCTAATATTCTGTGAAAGCCAAAGAAAGCTTCCAGCTGGAAAAAGAACAACACTTAGTGCTGAGATACAGGCTTTGTACTTCTCCACTTGGGAGTTGAGGGTGACCTTGAGAAGTCCCTGAGGCTTGAGTCTACTCTTCACAAGTTATTCTGCAACTGAGTGTTCAAAGGGCCAGATAACTTGCTTTCTGCTATTATTTTCTGCAGTGGAGAGCATGGTCCCAAGAAGTAGAGCTGTTATCCCATTTTATGGGCAAGACTTTATTGACAAGAAACTAAGGTTTAGCAAGATTAAATGCCAGTAACCAAACCAGTAGATTCCCTGGTGATCTCCCTTCAAGATTGCTCTGGTTAGCATTCCTTTACACTTGCAGTCAGGTAAATGTCTACACCAGACCACGGACTGCTCCCAGTGGTGCTCTGTGCTTCAGCTGGCACTGTGATAATTAATGTCTGTAATAATTTTTCTTTATCACCATTTATTCAGGAAAATGAGTTACGAAGGGGTGAATGCATCCTTTGTAAACTCATAGGTCTGTGTCTTGGTTCTTGCTTTCAAACTCCAGTCAATTTTTGTATTCTTCATTCATCCTACCACCTTCCAGAAGGCGGGAGGATTTTTCCATTTCCTACATGTTCAGCGTCACTTACAAAACAGTATCTCCGCTAAACTTGTGAACACAAAGACAGTTTGTTAACTGAAAATACCACCAAGGTGGAGTAGTTATGACTGCTCTAGATCCTTTGGTAATGTGCATATTCAAGAGAGGCTGGTTGATTTATTTGCCGTTGTCATTCCATATCTGGGAAGGAGCTTCCCCAAGATTTATCTTGCAGATTTGCAGCTTCTGTCTTTAAGGGCTTGAGCTGGAGAGGTAATGCCACTGTCAGTTACAGATCTCCCAGGGTTTTTAAACTGCACTAAACACTTTCTTTAAGTAACATGGTCTGGAGACTGTGGCTTCTGGAATGATTATGATCCACATCAAGAAAAAAGGTGGAAGACGGTAATCACAGCAGTGACTCTGGGAGCATGTATTTTGTCGTCAGATGTAACATCATCTCTCTCACATTGGAGATGATGAGAATTCTATATCTCACGAAAAGTATTCTATCCCTTTCTCACTGAACATTCCCTTACCAGGTAATGGAGTTTAAACAGAGTCTCTGGTGGACCTGAAGATACCTACTGAGCAGAAGTCCTTTCTTAGAGGTTCTGGATTAATCTAGGGAGGCGAGCACAATATCTGTTGCTACTCTCACTGCTAGAAAAGGTCTGCAGGAATCATCCCACCCAGAAAGATACGCAGAGACTATTGCTCTGTTCTCTCTTGAGAAGCTGGCTTCTATTCCCCAATCACAGCTGCTCATTCCAGAGGGACTCACCAGGATCCCCTTTTGACAGTTTCCACCCGAGTCAGCAGGTACAGAGAGAGGTCAAACTTGAACCAGACTTTCCAGAGCCAGGCATTGGGCAGAGAAAGATGACAAGCCAATAGGTGGCACTCAGGCTGGAGGCTATCAGCGTATAGAGACAGCCTGGGCTTTGGAAGCCATTGGTTCCTCAGTATGCCCTAACACCATTTAGCTGAGTGAATTTATTTCCTCATTATGAGACTTGAGTATTTGTTTGATTTCCCTGAACCTTTCATCACTCATCTACAAAATGTATATCTTAACTGACAAGGAAAATGTAAGGACTAAACAAGAGAAAATTTACAAAACAGCATGTAGAAAGCATTTAATATGTATGACTGCTGTGGTTCTTTTCACTCTTGCTTCAGTTCAGTTAGCAGCCACTGCAACACGTTGTCAGAACAATAAAGACCTAAAGAAAACTAGCACTGTGGTCAGGGAATAACTTGTGAAGGCCTTCTGGAGGGAGTGGGATTTTGGTGCATGAAGGAATAGGTTAGATTGTCCAAGTATCTGTGTGAAAAGATTTTCTAGGCTGGGAAGCAGCATACAAAGTTCAGCTTGTTCTGAGGATAGCAGAGTCTTATTAATTTAAGAAGTTGAGGTCCTGACCTCAGCAGTTTACAAAGCCCTAGAGACAGTCGCCTGCCCAGTAGACTCAAAAAGGCAGACAACCTTAGAGCAGCTCGAGGCATAAAAGTAACCTCTAAGTAATTGAAATTGTAATTGAAACATTGTAATAAATATTCATAATATTTCATTATTAAATATATGCTAAAACAAACCAGAATATCTCCCCAATCCAGAAAACCACTAAGGTAAAAGCGAAAAAAAATTTACTAATGGATGAAGCTAAACAAAATGCGATGTGCCTCAGAGGCTGGCTCAGAGCTTGCCAAGTCAGAGCGAAGTCTCCCTCTTTTATAAGGCTGAGCTGGTAGAACAGCTGCCACGGCACATGTTCTCAGGATAAGCAATAACTGGTCCTTCAGTCAGAGGGTTTGGCAGCACCATTTGTCACTCATGTTCACCCCAGATTCAGCTGGTACCTGGGCTGACCATCTGTGTTAGCTAATTGGCCTTATCCAGAGGAAGGATAAATGTCTCCTATCTTTATGACAGGAGGTAAATTTCATTGTTTCAGCACTGGGGATTGAAACCAGGGCTTCTGCACTGAGCAAGGTTCCTAGCTTCCTCCCCACCCCCAGTCTGTTTTATTTTGAAACAGTGTTCCATTGAGTCTCTAAATTGCTCAGGCTGGCTTCAGACTTGCAATCCTCCAGCCCCAGCCTCTCAGAGAGCTGGGATTATAGGTGTGCACCTCTGTAACCAGCTGACAAGAGGTAGTTTTGCACCTTGGAGCCAGGGATCTTCCCAAGTTAAGTTCCTACTTTCCCACAAAAACTGAGAGATAGAGCTGTTATCTTCCTTGCTGATTATATTGCAAAGGGGTGGCTACCAAGTCCTGAGAAAGACAGTCTTGATTCCTGGCCATAAAGTGGGCAAGAGGCTTATACAACTTTTAAAATGATCTCTATACATTTCAAGGAAGCAGGCCAAGAATTCAAAGTAGCATATTTTGTAGATACTCTAATAAAGAGGATAAATATGTTCTATTACAGATAAATAAGAAGCCCTGTTCACTTGTTTTCTTTATTTCTCTTTTTCCTTTTTTTGTTTCTTTTGTTTTTTTTTTTTTGGTATAGTGTTCATTTGTTCAGAAACTGTTTAATTAGTAGCTATACAATGATAGGTATTGTGCATGTCAATGGATAGATATATGTAAGCGAAGTAGACCTGGTCTCTGTCCACGGAGACAGACATCAAGCAAACGCACGGCAACATTTCTAATGATGACTACTTGTGTTATGGGAAGGGTATAGGGCTAGAGAATAAAAGAATGGTGCTCAATTTAAATTGGCGAGATAGGAAATACCTTCCTAAAATATAATCTGACACGTAATTATTAATCAGTTACACAAAGAAGAAAGAGTAGGCATGAAGGTGGCTGGTGAATAGGGTGATGGGGAGTGAGGTAACAAAGAGAATTAAAGCTTTATAAAGGCTCCCCAGTGAACACTTTCTGAGGAGAACTGAGTTACTAAAGAAGTGAATTGATAATCTCCCTGGGATAAAGGTTCAGGAGAGGTGGAGTTTTTATGTGTTTTGTTAATAGTTACATCTCCAGTACATAGTAGCAACCCTGGCCAGTGGTCAGCCTGGTTGACCAGGCTTCCCAGATGTAAATTCAGTGCTCTTGACATTATAAAACCAGTGGGACCATGCACCAGGGGCTAGAGAAGTAGCCAGGAAAGTTCCTTGGGTGGGGAGAGCCACTGGGGATATTTGATAAACAGAAAAAACAATCTGGATTAGATTCCAGACCTTGCTTTTGATAAGCTGACCTCAGGTGAATGACTTAACCTGTCTGGTCTTCAGATTTTTTTTTAATACTTTGTTAGTAATGCTTATGTCAAAAACAGTTTCACTGACTAAATTAGGTATCGTAGACATATTAAAAGTTTTTTGGCATCAGCTGAGGATATAAACAAAGATATACACTTAATGGATCTCATGTGGAAAGCCCTGGCAGAGTGCTTGGCGAGCTAGGGGCTCTGTAAATGTCATTCCCTTTCTCTGCAAGGAAGTGAGTCAGGCCTGGGGATGGCTGTGTTTGCTTTAGTCTTTGTCTATGGTGGTTAAGGAGACAGGGACAGTTGCAGGGGCTCTGAGCTGCTGACATTTTCATTGTTGCCAGGTGAGTGTTAAAATCACTCTAAAGAGAGGCTAAGGTGTAGAATTTGAAAGGAAAGCATTTACCTTTAAGGCCATTGTCCTAAATGTCAAGGAAGCAGTGTGCTATTCTATGTGCCTGCTTTTCATTGATTATGAAGTGGCCTGCAGACTGTGTGCTAGCTTTAAAGATATGGAAGCAGTGGAGAGAATTACACGCATTTGTGGGAACAAATCCTCTTCCCTGTGAATCCATGTTTCCTCCTCTGCACAGTGGTGTTTGACACTTGATAGGCTTTGGGTTCCCTAACCCTCCCCATATTCCTTGAGAGAGGCAGACAGGGAGGGAGAGCTGTGGTGGAGTCACACTAGCAGTGATCTGCTATGTGAAAAGATGGAAAGTGGGCTGGCCTTGATGTTTTGGTTAGAAAGTAGTCTGATTCTGGCCCAGAAGGACCCTCATACCTGTGCTGCCTCTGTCCTTCATGTCCTGGGTGAATGAGACCTGAGAGGGAGTGTGAGCTGTTCAGCTTTGCAAAGCTGAGAGCGCCAAGAATGGAAACAGGGCCAGACTCGACTTACTGCCAAGGGCTTATTGTACTGCATAATGAATGCATTACTGTAAAGGAACTGAAGTGCTTCAGTTGAATAACGTTTTACAGAAATGCATTTGTTAACACAGTAAATACAGAGCCGCAGTAGGCAACAGGTAACACACTGGAACCTCTGAATGATACTTTTAGGGTCAATCTATGCAAATATTTTTGATAGGTTGCATAGTCTGAGTGTTTTGATAACCATTAGTGAAAATGACATTGGGGTCAATGATGACAGTGATAGTGAGAGGTCAAGACAGTGATGGTGGTGACCGTGGTAGTAGTGGTGGTGGTCATGGTGGCAGTGGTGGCTGACCATAATGACAGTGAGGATGAGTATGGCAGTGATCATGACGATGACAGCGATGATGATGCTTAAGGGATAATGACAATGAGAAGGGTGACAGTTGGTGTTTAATGAGCCTTATCCCTAGTTTCAGCACTTTGTAGATTTTTTGTACTTTAATTCTTACAATCCCATGACAAGATACTATTATTGTTATTATTTAGAAGAAGACAGAGTATTACCCAGCGTCAGACAATAAATTACAAAGTTTGGATTAAAATGCAAAAATAACAAAAACAATCATTATAACTAACATTTGTGAGCTCTCACTGTGCTGTACTGTTTTCCATGTATCAGCTGGTTGTGTTCTCTACAAATTTCATAGAATTGGCACCATTCATTTCTCTTTTGGTGGATTAAAAGACTGTGACTCTGAGAGTGGGAGTGGCTCCCCAAGACCACACAACCGCTCAGAGAGGGAGCACAGGGCTGCGCAGGGAATCGTCCTCCCCACAGCCCACTGTTCAGTGCTTCCCTGTGCTCCAGCATTTCCACTTTACACCTGCCTGCATACCTATTCTGCCAGGTCACAGACACTGCTGGTTCTGCCTCTTTCACTCCTGGAATCCCTAGTGTCCTCCCTGCTGTTCTCTACATCAACCACTGAGCTCACTTTCCACCACAGCCACAGCTAAGGCTTGGGGTGCTTATAAGGCTTGGGGTGCCTGATGCCTATGGAGGAGTCTGAATGTAGGATTTAGCATACCAGACTTATGAAGAACAGGGCTCTGCCTGCCTTCCCAGCCCCATTTCCTGATGCCACTCTGTGGTACCTGAAACCTCACTAAGCAAATTCAACAACAGACCTGCAGTCAGGTCTTGTTTCTATGTCTGCTGCCATCATGCCTGGAACACAATAGCAGCCTGGTGAGAGGCTATTGTTGGATGGGTGGATGGATGGATGGATGGATGGGTGGATAATGGATGGATGGATAGATGGATGGTTGGATGAAAGTATGGGCATGATTTTTGTTTTTTCTTTTGTATTACAGTTCTAGTGGAGTTGTCATTTACCTTTCTTTCTTCTTTTTTTTCTTCCAAGGGAAGCCCAGGCGAGCGGGGTTTGGATGGTGAAGTTGGACAGAAAGGTGATCAGGTAAGGAACAATTTCCTTTATAGTACATCGTTCACCTTGAGTACAGATTCCTCTTCCTCCTCTGCAGCCTCTGTCTTCCATTCTGATGTCAGCTCTGGCCTCTGCTTTGCCTGAAGTAAGAATTGGTTTCCGTCTTGAGCGCTCTGACTCATAGGCACCCATTCTTCCCCTGAGTATCCAGGGACTCGCCTTTTCGCCTGCTTTTTGATTTTGTTGTATGATCATTTATTGACTGTCTCTTGGTCACCAAAGGGGCATCCTTCCTACATGACCCTTCCCTCCCTTGTGCTGAGTCTTGGGTGACTACTGTGTAACACACACATGGAGCCAGTTGGAATAACCCCTGGCCCTGGTTAGTGCCACCGGCTTGCTGGGGCTTTCTCATACTGAGTGTCAGGAAGGGAGCAATGATGACATGAAGTCATTCTCTGCATCTGCATTGGTCCTTGCCCCCTCCCATGGTGCTGCGGGTTCTGACCCAGCGGGATGACTGTGGTTACAGCAACTACTATGCTTTTGCTCTATGGCTATCATCTCATCCCTTCTTTCCATTGCTCTTCTCCTCTCCGACCAGCTCTCTTTGGTGGCCTTTGCTCTTCTCTGAACCTCAACCCCAGGGCTCACTGTAAACCAGCCTTGCATCTGGCACTCCCAGCCTGAGACGCAGGAGAGTCATAGACAACTGCTGACCTCATTGTGGCCATCACACAGGCAAGGCAGGGCACTGACCTTCACCCAGGGTCATAGAGATAGGGCTGTCCTCAGGCCCCCAGGAAGTCCTCAGGAAGCATCATTCTATGCTTGGAAACACTTGATGTATTTGGATATGAATGAGACATCACAGACAGTACACTCAGTACCAGATATTATAGGATGTGCTCGCCAGTGGCAGTGTGTGGAGGTGAAGGACAAGAATAACTTCGTTTTTGGTGGTTTTCTTGGTTTTATAACACTGCCATCCATACTAGACCAAGTATTAGATGCCACATTCTGCACTATAATTTGCCTCATTTTGTAGTGTGCAGGAGATTTCTCTTTGTGTGGAGAAATTAATATATTTCCAAAAATAATTGTAGTATTACCATAATACCAGTTCCATGGTTCAATTTTTCAACCTTATTTTAATTAAAGATACATATCTTTATAAATCTATCTACTGATGTACATGTGTCCATATGCATAAGGATAAATATCTACGTATAACTGTGACCTAGATATTTAGATAGATTGATAAATAGGTAGATAGACCTACCCACCACTGACCCTCAATATTTATAACTTCTACATCCAGGAAATCCACCACATACCTAGAAAACCTTAAAAGACTTTGTGCTACCCAGCTGTTTCCCTTCTTGTTATCCTCTTGAAAGAATTAACAGCATCATACCACAATGGTATATGCACACCCATGTTTATAGCAGCACAATTTGTATTAGCTAAATCTTGGAAACAGCTCAAATGCCTATTAACAGATGAATGGATAAAGATGTGTTCTTTTGTATACAATGGAGTACTACTCTACCATAAAGGATAAGCTTGAGACATTTCCAGGTGAGCAGATGCATCTTGAGACCATACTCTTAAGTGACATAAATCTCACACAAATGTTTAAATATCACATTGTTTCTCTGGTATAAGAAACTGAAAGGGTAAATAAGGACCAAATGTATAACAGGTATTGGGAAAAAGGAAGAAAATGTTCAAATGGGAAGGCGAACAAGGAAGGGGAGGGACAGGAAGAAATGCAAAAAAAAAAAGAATAGAAAAAAAGGAAAGAAAGCTTTTGTAAACAAGTGGTGGGGAGGAGTAGAAGGAAGGAGAGGGATTGGGAAAAAACAAGAATCGAGATAGAGCATGTACAGGTACAAATTCCCTGTGAGGAATACAATCAATATGCATCTCTAAACTATACTAATAATATTAACATTTTTAAAATGACAGTAAACATCAAGATTTTTGCCACTGAGTTCTCTCTTGCATGATGATCCACCCTCAGGCTATAGAGAGTACTTATTTTCCTACTTGATCCAAATTCACTCTGCAGCACTTGTTTCTTTTCCTATCTTTAATAAACATAAGGTCTTGCTACTGTTAAAAGAAGTCTTTGTACTAAGCATATTCAGACTTTTTCTCCAAAAAGATAGAGATTAAGCTATATGGGAAGATATGTATCAACTATATAGAAATAGTATGCCACTTAAAACTGGAACTTAACAAAAATCAAACAAACAAACAAACAAAAAGAAACCTTGGGGTTGGGGATTTAGCTCAGTGGCACAGCACCTGCCTGGCAAGCTCGAGGTCATGAGTTCGATTCCTGGTACTGGAAAAAAACAACAATAACAAGCAAACAAACAACAAAAAAATAAAACTGGAACTTGAACATCTGAGGATTCCAGTATGGGGGATACTAGAACATCTCCTTCCCTGATACTGAGAGACAAATGTATATATACACATATATGTATGTGTGTGCAAGTGTTTGATTCTAATATTTTTCATTATAGAACATTGTAAACATACCTACAGAGTAGTGACTACAATAAAATAAACCCCTGGGGACCCAGCACCCAGCCACATCAGCTTCCAGATATTAGGGCCACTTTTTTCCCCCTCTGTCTTCTCAGCTGCTTCTCCACAGCTGCTCCCTCTACTTTATTTTGAATCAAATCCATTGAGGACATATGTACTTTTAAAAGTATTTTCAGCTGTATTCTCCACCTACTGAAGCACTAGGGATGTATGAAAAAGAGATGGCTTTTTCTGTGTCTTCAACCAAAATTGTTAAAGGAATTAGAAGGTGGATTCTACATAGTTGCCTAAAATTTGGAATTCTTACAAGTTAGAAGCTCATTTACTTTTTAGAGAATTACTTCTTGCGTGTGTGTGTATATATATTTTTTTCCCTCCCTTTCTTTTTTCCCTTCTCTCATTCCAGTGATTCTTTCCTTCAGTTATTTTGAAGATAGCAACATGCAATATAACAACCATTGTTGATTTACTGTCATCTTGTTTTGAAATTCTGTATTGTTTTTAGTGATTTTATTGTTTTATTTTCTTTAAAATAATAAAAGAATTACCACTTGTGTCTTCCTAGGGGCATCCCGGAGTTCCAGGTTTCATGGGGCCCCCAGGGAACCCCGGGCCACCAGTAAGTAAGATCGCCAATCTCTTTTCCCTTTGGCCGTGCATACTCACTGGAGATGGTATCATACTGGACCTATCTCATATTTGACAGGGTGGGATGAACACTCAAGAGTGCCCAAGGGTGAACTGAAAGTCCAACTCTCAAAGCACCTTGGGAGAATGCAGAGGAACATAGATGGCTTTGATGGGCAGTGTGCTTAGAATGCTAAGCACATGTATATGGGGACAAAGCTTTTGTAAATAAGTGGCGGGGAGGAGTTGAAGGAAGAAGAGGGATTGGGGAGAAAAGAAGAATCGAGATATATCATGTATATGTATATATCAGGACCAGGGGCACCAGCAGGGTTGGATTCAGTTCATATATTTCTAGGTTAGCACATCCCTTATGTATTGCAAATGTGTAATGATAGAAATGGGAAAATTTTCTTATTTTGAAAAATGAAAAACAAAAAAGGTTTTTTTCTCAGAGGGACCTGCCCTATGGTGAGAAGCCCTGAGAGCTAGAATGTACCTTTAGAAGCCCAGATTTTCCCAAATATACTGCAATCATTAACAGTAATAGTAACTATAAATTATTGTTTGCTATAACTATCTTAATAGTTCATTCATTATTATTCTCAGACACCTATTACCATGATAACTACCACATGTACCGTGAATATTACCCCATTTATTGCTCCTCCTGAGCACATGATCGCCCTGCTCTTGAGTAGCTATGGCCTTGATGTTGGCCAGTAACTTTCTCAGCATCTCTCTCCCCTCAGTCCAGAAAAGTCGTATTGCTTTTCTGCTCGGAGTTCACTGCATTGTCACCTGTATATCCATCAAGGGTAGTCATGGTGACAGGCACTGAGAATTCGTCTCCCTGCCAAGCTCAGGGCCTCTGGGATTTCCAGTGGATTCTTTCCATGAGAGTCCTCCCAGACCTTGCAAATGAGGGCTACAAATACCCAAAAGACCACTGAAAGGGGAACCCACTTCAGATAGCCCTTTATGTCATAAAAGATTGTGAAATAGAGATTCAGTTGTGATTATGAAGTTAACTATACCAAATTGAACTTTCTTTGTCTTCTTTTCAAATAAAATCTCGCTGAGGATTCCTGTTGGTAACTATGCATTAATTAGTTGAACAAATGAGGTTGTTTTAAATGTATTTTTTAAATTAAAATCATGTGAGATGTTGCAACAGCATTCTTTCACTTCATAATTAACTCTTACAGAAAACTTGCCAAAAGGTAAATTATCTACAAAAGTACTAAAAGCATCATCAGCTCTTCAGAGAGACTACTTTAAATTGTTGATATCTGGCTCAGTCTCTCCTAGTGCTCTGATGTTATTATCTTTTTTAGTTTCTCAGCCTCGACTCCTAACATCCAATTCTGCTTTATGCACGTTTGTGAAGGATAGAAGGGCCTTTTCTCATTGGAAATCTCAATAACTTACAATTCTGTGACACTGTGGGAAACTAGGGGATGAGTCTGAGACTCAGAGACAGCCATAATCAGAAGCTGGCTTGTCTATCTTCAACTGATTAATGCCTTATGTTCACCTGGCAGATGTTTATTGAGCTTCTATTTTGTGTCATCCTTTGTATTGCTAATTGCCTTTGAGGGAAGATGCTGAGTCAGCTGCCTCTTCCGAATTAGCAACCAGGCGCACAGAAGCAACTGGCTTTTGTTTTGTTTTTCATTTATTTTCAGTCTGGGGCTCTTATTTTTATTTTTATTTGTTGAGTACCTATTAATTTGTCAGGGCCTCCACAAAATATCCATGCTTATAGGCATTTCTGTGTCTATTTCCTGGTTCTCAGTCAATGTCTTCCTTCTAAATAAAGCTATTACATTGTTCTTGATTTTGCAGTGAAGCATTTAATCTTAACTCAGCAATTTTCCAAAGTCTGGTTCTCAGAAACGTTTGTAACATCATATAGAAATATTCATATTTTAAGTAGAAATTCCATTGTTCTATTAGCTTTCAACCAAATGTGTAATTAAACCAAAAGCCTTAGGCTATTTCCCTTTATTTCATAAATATTTACTGGGTCCTCACTTAGTAGAAGAAATGGAGCTAAATCACATACCATCCTGTCCTAGAAATTGGTTATCCATGGAAAATAAGACATATTTCCTATTGCTAAATCAAATTTCATTGAAGTCTAAGACTGTTGTGCAGTCTCTTCTATATTACTAAAACTTCACTGGCATCTGGTAAAAATAAACATTCAACAAATGTATGTCAACGCTAAAATAAAGACTGCTGGATTGGTATCAATAAAGTACATGTTGGTTCATGTTTCCATATTTAGTTAATAACCATTGTATTGTTCCCGATCTCAGAATAGATACTAGAAATAATAATGGACAACCCTTCATGGGGAACCCATAGGAGAACCTGCTGCTGGCTGATTCTTTTTGCGTATTAACTTACTGAAATATTTAAACAAACCCACATGCAATTGTTGTAGTCTACTTTTGCATTTTATAAAGGAAATGAAATGCAGAGAGGATAATTACCTTGCCTAGGCTTACACAGCTAGTCTATGGAGAAACGAGATATGGACACAGGGATTTTGAATCTAAGAAGGTTCATTCCTACCCAGTACCTTCTTTTCCGTACTAAGCATTTATAAGCACTGCCTCATTGACTCCACATTTCCTTATGGTGTGGGGGGCAATTCCTAACTGTTACTGAAGATGAAGCTGGAGCTTACAGATCTTATGTGGCCTTATTAATGCTACTGAGAGGCAGAGAGGTGAATTCATCTAAAGAACGATTGTTTTCCTCACTCAGCCAGCTCAGCTCCAAATTCATCCATTTATTCAAGAAATATTGATTGACTGTCCAATATATTGCAGGTACTCCTTTAGTTTCCAAGAGGGAAAGAAAGGGAAAATCTCTGATTTTGTGATGTAGGAGGTGTATGGGAGGAGGGAGACAGACAAACAAAGACCGAATCAATAAACATTAGGACATCAGATGTCACTAAGTGCTTTGGAGAAAAGTAGGCAGAAAATAACAGTTTGTACCAGGGTGGTGAGTCGCAAGTGCTGGCAGTTTTGAGCCTCATAGGACAAAAATCCTTATTCTAAGAAAAGATACTTGAGTTAGGACCTGGAGGATGCGGATGGCATGCTGTGGATACAGGGGCCTTCGATGTGGGCAAAAGGAGCATGAGAGCTCTGATACGGATGTGTGCCTGAGAACACGCTGTACTGCTTACTTACCTGGGTACAGCTCTTCCATCTACCCGTCTCTTCATCTCTGGATTGACATAAACAATTGCCTTTCTGATCTTCCCGGAAGATAAATTCAGGTGTGCAGGTCTTGATTTCCATCATCAAATGTTCTCTAACATTAGCTGAAAATGTCCCTTAAGAAGTGAGACCGTTTACTGTTGCTGTAGGGATAACTGGCTGAGTAATCATACCAGCCCTTCTTGAAATGTGGCTGTTGTTCCTTCAACACCACTGTAGTCTCAGGAACAGTCCAGTCTGATGAGGAAGAAGTAGGGCTTTTGAAACATGTCTAGTGCTGGCAGCTGTGTGTAATATGTGTACGTTACTCCATGTCTGCAAAGGATGTTATATATGACCTCTGCCCAGTCACACAATAAACTATTCCTGACTTGCCTTGTCTTTTTAAGGGAGCAGATGGCACTGCTGGAGCTGCTGGAGCACCAGGAATTCAAGGGCCACTGGTAAGTTCCTTGAGGGATAAGGTCTTCCTTAAATTCATCTTTATGCCTTTTCAAAGGTGCAAGTGTTTGTCAGCCAACCCTGTCCAACCCTCTGTGACTCCTGTGGCCCACTAATAACCCTGCAGTGAAAGACAAGGAGGGGTTGCTGTCCATTGGAGCACAGGTTGCTCTGCCATTAAAATAAAGGTTTGGATGAAATGTTCTGCCCATCTATGATTCCAGAATTAGTTTACAAACAACCACGCAAGTAGGCCCAAGATTTAGGCCTCGTCTGTGTGTTCTTATCAGCATAGATTTCACTCTGAACATGTACATGTGAGTGGAAAGCCTTGGGCTGCCCACCTTGAGCCTACAGTATGTCCCAAATGCAATTCAGGGAGGAGGCAGACCCCATCATCCCAATTGTCCCAAAGAGGAGATGTCATTGTTCCAAAGAGAAAAAGATGTCATCAGTCAAGGACCCAATATCACAGCTGGCACAGTTGGCATTTGAATTCAATTTAATTGCTTTCATCTCAAAAGCTAGAATCATCTTCATAGCATAGAGCTACTAGATTCCACTGTGGTTTGAATGCCGTAAAGCAAAGGATGAACTGCAATTTAGCAGGCATATTCATAGTAATAGTACATGTGTGGCATTTAAAGGAATATGTGGGATATTCATATTACTTATCTCATCTGACTATTCTTTTCAGTTTAGTGCTATAGTTTGGAAAGATCCTAAATCATTATATCCATTTTATAAATAAGGAAAAGGAGGATTTCATAGTAAAAAGACCAGTTCAGAGTCACATAGTGAGGAAATAATCAGAGCCAGGCACAAACCCCAGTCCATGAGACTCTCAGCATCACAGTCCATGTCTAAGACTAGCTAGCTGGGCCAACCTTGGGCTGGTGTCTTTGGACTCTTCTGCACAGGGCACCTTACAGTTCATCTAGTACAACTTCATTCTTCCCAGCTAAGGACAGTGTCCAACAGAGCTACATTATTTGTCCAAAGTCATGTAGGAAATTTATTTCCAAGTTGGGAATATGTGCATTTGAAAACTCCCAGTTCATGATTTCCACTGTTTCACATTGACTCACTGTGGAATGTAGGAATCGAATAATGATGCCCATCTGCTCCTTTCTATGGTCATTGTGGGATCCCTCTTTTGAAGCAAGTCACCTTAAAGTCTCAGGATGCATGCAATAGTGCAGGCAGCATTTCATCGACCCTCAGACCATAAATGATTTCCCACAGTAAAAACCAATGGGCTTTTGCTTGGAAAGAAGGAGTTGTGGGCCCAGATGTAAAATCATTACATTGGTAGGAATTGAAGTGTATGAAATAAGACATTTATTCTATCCTGGGACTTCTTGCCAAGTTATGGCAGTATTTGAAGCTGTCCATGGTCTTGATAATTTAAAATAAACATTAGATCAGGATATAATGGATTTATTTTTTATGTTTTAATTTAATTTTATTTTATTTTTGGTACCGGTAATTGAACTCAGGATCTTGTGCTTGCCGAGCAGGCGTTTATGCAACTGAGCTAAATCTCCGGCCCTATAGTAGATGTTTTCTTAGCCTAAACAATGAATCTTGGTACTTAGAAATAGAAACAAAGCAAGTTATATGGTTGAGGATAATACAAATACACATGTAACCCTAAAAAACATCATTGTAGTTTGAATTAAAACATGTACATTATTTATCAGTCTTTTAACATAGGATAAAGGCCTATGCTTTCATTTTCAGCTCCCTGAATAAATCCTTTATAATGATTCTTATAAAAAGAATATCCATCCATCTACTATTTGCTGTGATAAAAATGTGGTTCTAGACTATAACTGCACCTGTGAAACAATATCAGTACAAAAACCTAGATGGTTGTACTCTTTGATAGCTATCTTGTAGTTTCCTATTTATACAGTGAGTGATTCATTTTATCCACTATTGTCACAGCCCATATTTAACTTGCATAAGAGATCATTCTTTCCTTTTCACTACCTAAATTTCATTGAGTTACTAAATAGCTGAATAGATTACTTTCCATGGCAAATAACTACAGAGAGATTCAAAGAAGAAGCAGCGTGTCCTTGTCAGCTTTAGCTCCTGTGGTAGGAGCAGGAGCAGAAGCAGGAGCAGGAGGAGGAGCTGGGGTAGGAGCAGGGGCAGGGAGGGGCAGGAGCAGGGGCAGGGGCAGGGGCAGGGGCATGGGCACTGCCTGACAAAGCAGGGGCCTTGGGAAGGATGATGTGGCTAGGTTACCATGGGAATGGTTAAGTTGGGCAAGGGAAGATGGTTCAGGGAGCATCCATCTGCCATGTTTTAACTTCTGGTCTGTCTACCAATGGCGCTGCTTTCTAAAGAAAGGAGAAATCTGGTTTTGATGTCAAGAGCACTGGGCAGGGAGTCAGGAAGTGGTTCCTGTCCTGAATCCATGGCATTCTTATTATGCGTACCTTCTTCACCTGAGCTTCAAGGGAATGGTGCAGCTCAGGGTTTTGCAAACTTTTCTGTAAGGAAACAAATAGTGAATACTTCAGGCTTTGTGGGCCATATGGTTTCAGTTGCAATACTCAGCTGTGGCCTGGTGAAATGAGCTACAGACCCTGATGGATATGGATATGGTTGTGTGCTGATCAAACTTTATTTCCAAAAACAGGCAGAGGGCTATAGTTTGCTCATCCATATCCTCCATCACTGCTGTTTTCAGTTTATGATCTTTGAAACAAGAAGTATCCAGGAAGGAATCTAGAAAACTCCATTGTCAGTGTTTAAAATTCCCTCATGATAACTGAATATCTGTCCTAGGTTGGGCAAGGATGTCTACTTTATTTGCTTATATGTTCATAGCTGTTGTGATGTCACGAAGTGGTGAATTTATTGATCCACTTGAATTGGTATAAGTGACAATATGTCTAGGCAACTCCAACTGACATGCAGGACAATGCTATAGAGATGGAGCTTATGACAAGTTGAGTGACTTCTCAGTATGAATATGAAGAGTATAAATTCTTGAGAAAAAGCTTCAACAAACAATAGGAAGCATAGTACATGCCTTTCTCATCATTTCCTAAGACTCTATAAATCTTATAAATTTCAAATATACATGATGGGTTTGTTCATTTTCTTAGGTATCATTAAAAACTCAGTTACTGAGTTTATGTTGTTTAAATAGTATACAATAAATTTCACAACAGCACAATTCATAATATCTAAATCTTGGAGGCAGCCTATGGGTATATCAACAAATGGGTGGTGGCTGGTATTTATACACAGTGGAGTACTACTATGCTATGAAGAAGAATAAATTTGAGTCGTTTGGAGGGAAATGGATGCAACTTGAGACCTTTTGGGTTAAATAATCCTTGGTTATTGCGGGCTGATCAGGCCCACGGTCTCCCAAGCAAGGGATGATGAAGCCTTAAATAAATGAGACAATAGAATGATTTTAGGGCTCCAGGAGGGCTAACTGTCTTACAGCTTTGATATTCTCTGAGTTTAGTCAAAGACTTCTCTGGAAAGCCCATATTTATTTGGTTTACAGAGGAGGAGGATACTGAAGAAAATGCCAGAATCTGGGCAGGACTTTTCCAAGTAATACGTTACCTTAATTTAGGAGAACTATGTTATCTCCAGGAAGGCCTTCATAGTAGGAGTGAGATGCCTGCGGCTGTAGTCTCCTTTAAATTAATTGGGATTGGAGCCAAACATCCTCAACTGTAGCCTTATGTTGTCCTTTGAGGTGTCACAGCTTCACAGACCAATACAGGGCTCAGGGTGACCAGTGACTCACAGAGGTTTACTTACTATGAGTCCACTGTCCATCTTCAGACAAGGTGCCTAAGCTTCAGACAACTTACAAGTAAACACAGAAAGCCAATTGGTTAATGTTAAATCCAGCTCAGAGCCACTTTGTAGTGGTCTCCAACAGAGACCATGATGTTAAGTGAAATAAAGAAACAAGCTAAAATATCACATAGTTTCTCTTGTATGAGAAATTCAGAGTATACCTGAATTTAAGCATAAGGTAAAAGATAATAGGAAGCAGCAAGATAGAATTTTTAAAAATGGGATAGAAATGGAAGATGGAAGAAAGGGAAAGGGAGGGAAGGGTAATGTGATGTGAAAAGAATCAATGATAATGCGATGTGTTATGTGCACGTACAACTCCTCACAAGGAATGTAACCATTTTGTACTGCAAACATGGACTGATAAAAATAGAAATAGAAAAAAAAAAAAAAACCAGAGCAGCTAAAAAATAAAACCAGCCATCTGATGGAAAAATATAAAGTGTATTTTGGCCCCCTAATGGGGATAATTTTATATGATAACATATAAAAACTGTAAACTTGAAATAAGCTTTAGCTTTTGTTTTTTTTATTTTTGAAGAGAATAAAAATCACAAAACCTTATTTTATGTGATTAGGATATAAAATCTGGTGTCAGTATCTTATCTCCCCAAAACACTGGTAGGACAGAGTGTAACAGTTTCCAGGAACTCGCCGTACTCAGGACAGAGACATAGGGGCTATAAAAATTGCATCATGATAGAAATAGTGACCTGGTTTGTCTCATGCTGATGTAGAAGTCCTGGTTGACAGTTTCATATCTTTGATGAGCTATTGAGTAAAATAGGCAATGGATTGTTAGTGCAATTTGGTTAAATAGTTTTTCAAAATACCATGTCTTTAATGTAGGAAAGAGGTACTAACTGTAGCCATTGCTAGCAGAGGGTTTACAATCTCTGACACAAACAATGGAAATAATAAACCATGGATCACACCTGCCCTCCATCATCCCTTTCCTTCCATTGGGTCCTGTAGTCATAATATCTCAGGGTGCCATGTCTGTGCTGTGTACATTGGGAAACTCAGTCTCAGGAAATTTGTAGACAAATGTTAAGTTGAATCTCGAATCAGTTCTTGTGAACTCCACTGTCCCAGTATCCTCATCCCACCGGCACTGTAATTGTGAATTCCTCAGAGACTCTGAACTGGGGCAGAGTAGGTCTCAGCCTGCACAGCAGCCATGAGTGCAAGTGTGCTCTGCCCAGGCACCAGGATCTTCGGAGACCGGGGAGGTGGGTCTGGAAGATGAGGCTCTTGCAGAGGCACCCGTGCTCCTGGCCAAAGACCCTTTCTTTCAGCTCTTTGACTTGCAGAATGGCCAGTCAAGGATTTCATGGCATTTTTATGTCTTTGATCTTTCAGGGGAAAGAAGGTCCTCCTGGCCCCCAAGGCCCACCTGGAATCCCTGGAATCCCAGTAAGTGATATTTGAAAAAATTTAGTTTCACTGTACAAAACATTTCAAAAAAATATGTATACTACTATGGTTAGCGATTTGGCCCTGGTAGAATGTTGGTTGTTGTAGAAATTTGAATCAAGAAAAACAAAGCTGACTAAATTTTGATGGAATCAGTCTTAAATTCATTCTTCTGTTATTCACATATGTGTTGTTTCTTAGTTATTTACATAGTATTTCTCTTTCTCTCCCCCCTTTTTTCTCCTGTGTATGTGTGTGTGTGTGTGTAGTGTTTTACATATGTGTGAACTCCATACACACATATGAACATTTTTCTACACTATTGTTAAATAGTCATAGAATTTACTTTCAGCATATCTAGTGCATGCACCATAACATATGTACATTCCTTTGTAATCCATGTCTTATAATTTGTTACATAAATCTTATAACATATGTTATATTCCTTTGTAATTCATAAATCTTTTAAGTTTTCTTTACAAAACTACAATGGGCAATTTCAAATGCATAGTAGCATTTTTCCAATATCTTTAGAATGATCCTTCAAAGTGGAGCTTACTTGTCAGAATACAATAATTAAAGTTCTGGATACATGCTGGAAGATTGCTTTCCACAAAAATGACTATGGATTTCTCAGTGTAATACACATCACAGTGGAGCTGAGATCTGCAATATAATTGTAGTTAGGTCTTTCTGGAAAGGTCATATACTGTCTTCTCCAGGAATTCTTATGTGGCTCAAGGTCTGTCCTGTGCCTGCTGCAGAGGCATCAACTGGCCACAGTCCCTCCTCCTACCTTTCACTGTGCATTCATTTGCGGTCATACCAGCTTCCTTTTGCTTCCTACAATGTGCTGCAGTCCTTCCTACCACACTCAACCTCCCCATCCTTCAGGCTACAGGGCCTTTACATATGCATTTCTATCTGCCTGGTTACCTCTTGATAGTTGATGCCTTTGATAATCCCACCTCAGCTCAGGCATGCTTCCTTCTCTGCTCTGCCCCCAGGCTGAGATGGCCTTTCTCAGTGCCTGAACCCCTGCATTCTAAATTCCTACCCCAGCTTATAGTCACATTTCCACCCTAGTGATGAGTGGCCACCTCCCCTACTATTCATTGATCTGATTTAGTTATTCCATCACCAAATGAATTAGGCACTCTTGTTTGCTAGATCTAACAGAAGGAAGATAACAAAGAAGAATAACTGGTAACCATGGTATTATATTATGGGCTGTATATTCTAGAAGCATTAAAACTATATCTGCTTCTTTTGGGTCCTTCCACAGAGTAAACACAGCAAGTATTAATTAAATAAATATATGGATTAATTAAATGTTCCCTTAGGATCCTTCCTCCTAGAATGCCTGGCAAGCACAGATGGGAGAGTTATGTCCTGGGCATCCTTGGTGACCCCTTACTGCAGCCCTGTGACTCAGAGTTTCAGCAACCTGTCCAGGGCACACACATCTTGAGTGACATTTTGAGCTGTATGAACTGCAATCCTGGAGACGGATGTGTGGTGGCAACAAGGACAAAATTACTCATGGCAGTGTTAAAGCTAAGGGGAGAAAATCCCTGGTATGGATTTCATATCAACCCCTTAACATCAAAGTTCCAGGATGCAAGAGAGCACAGAAACAACCTTAGAAATGGTTGTGCTATTTCCTTAAACATATCTGGCATTCTCTGCCCACTTCCCTGCCTCCCTCTCCTCCTCCCCCTCTATCTCTGTTCCTTCCAATGCACATCTGATCCTTCTCCTTCCAAGGCACATCTGATATCACCTCCCCCTTCCAGTGCATATCTGATATCACCTCCCTTTCTGCTGACAATTATCACTAGTAAGCCAAGATTGGGCACTGTTACCTCCCTGGCCTCTCATTAATTGATCTCTGTCTCTTCTGTCTCCATCTCACCCGTTCCCTACCTCCAGCTCCACCTTATAACCCTTTCTTTGGCTACTTTCAACTATTTTGGTTTCCTCTAAGAAATCATTCCTACAGAGACAGCCCTTCCTTCTGACTGGACAATTGGGATCCTGATAGCTTTGCTGTGTGCCTTGCATTGTTCTCACCACTGTGGGCTCTGTGTACAGAACTTTCCAAGCATAAGCACAGCTAACCTTCACCAAGGCTACAACCATCAGCTCATGGTCTGGGAATGGTTCAGTCCGTAGTCAGCTGGTTCCAAAGCTGAAGCATCATGCTGGCCTGGAAGCAGAACATGGAAACAGAGGAAGAACCAAATGACCATATATAGTACCTGAGGCCATGCCTCCGTGACCCACCAATCTACACTCAGGAGTGTGCTTTGCTAATCTGCTATTTTTTAGTGAAGTTGATGTATGAGGATTAACAGTCATAATCTACCATTTGTCAACTCTGCACCCAAATGCATCTCCTAAAATCGTACTTAATCGCCAAATAAAGGCAAAAGTAAATTCATAATTCCACCAATATAACTATTACAAGTACAACTTGAGATGCAATCATCCCTTCCCAAATATCTTAACAGTATTGGCCTCTTTCAAAAGTTCAGTCCAAATCTCTTTTGAGTCTCATGCAAACTCTTAACTGTGAATCTCTATAAAAATGTAAAGGAAGTTACAGAATCCCAAGGGACAATGGCACAGGTACCTATTCCCATTCCATAAGTGAGAGACAGGGGAATCGAAAAGAATCAGTCCAAAGCAAGACTGAAACCCATCAGGGCAAACATTAAGTCCTGAAGCTTCATATCTGGCACCCACAGCACACAGTGATAAAATGTGTGTTTTAAGGGCTTGGTGGTCCCATCCCTGTAGTTTTGCTGGTGGCAGTCTACACAGCTTCTCTCTTGGGCTGGCTTCACTCATGGCCTGCAGTATTTTTTCTTTGGTAGAAATTCCATGCTCTTGGCATTTTAAATTTCTTCAGTCTTCCACTGAATCTTTTTCTTCATTCCCATAGCTTCACACATTGCCCTCACAGGAGCCTCTTGTCAGGCCTCCCAGACCTTCTACTGAAATTTGAGTGGATGCTGCCCTGACTCCACAAGTACTGTTCTATATATCAGTCAAACCAGCATCACATAGATCATGCCAAGGTCTGCTGTTAATAGAATCAGTAGCCATGTCTTACTGGATTGTGGCTGCAGCAGCTAAGACCTTTCTCAAGCAGGGGTCTCAGGGACTCTCAAAAGGTAGACACTTTTGTACACTTGAGCCCTTGGTCTTACTGATTACTAAGATGCCTGAAGGTTTCTTCTCGTTCCTTTGCAAGCTATTTGGTTTCTTTTTAATGATTTTAATCTCTTTAGCGACTGTACCTCATTTGGCCTCACCTTTATACATAGTTTCTTCTGGACCACAATTTTAGTTTTTCAAAATTTTCTGCTCCGCCTTTTGTCCCTGTTTCTCACGTAAACCTGGCTAAAAGCAGCCAACAGTACTTACGCCATAGCCTGCGTATTGGCTGTCCTGAAATTTCCTCTACCAGATTAATTACACCAGGGCTATTAATCATAGTCTTCTGCAAAGCCTCAGGGAATGGGCAAAATGTTGACAAATTTTCTTGCCAGAGTGTAAAACACATAGTCTCCAGTTCAAATGTTAATGGAGTCTTTGTTCCCAGCTGCAACTTCCTGAGCCTGGCTTTTACTGTCCACATTCTTATCAGCATTTGGGTCTTTTGAGCTTTTACCATAATCATCCATCAGCCACTGCTTACTACATTCTAGGACTTCTCCAGCCTGTATCTCCAAACCTTCCAAATTCCTCCTGCAAACTAGTTTCAAAGTCTTTTAAATCACTTGGTTTGGTAAAGTCATAGCAATGACCCCATTTCTTCAGTGCCAGTTTTCTGTATCTTTCAACTTTCTTGTCAGTGAAACACAATACCCAACAATTACAGGTTAAAGGAGGAAAGGTTTCACTTAGTTCATGGTTTTGGGGGATGCAGTCCATAGATAGCTGGCTCCAAGGCAGGAACAAAATGACAGAAGGGATGTGCCAGGGACCAAAACAAGGGAAGAATGCCAGAGTGGAACAGACAAGGGGCCATATGTGGTACTTAAAGTTACACTTCCATGACCCACCCAGACACACCAGCAGTATGCTTTACTAATGTGCTTCTTAACCCAATGAAGTGGGCATATCAAAATTTATAATCACAGTGCTTGACATAGTTTTCTCCTGAGGCATGTTCTTAAGCTTCTCAGTGGAGTTAAGCAGGAATGGAGGTAGACTCTTAGAGCACTACATTCACCCCCTCACAGCACTTAGCGTATAAAACACCGGTGTCTCTTGACTGTCTGTCCACCTTCACCTAACGTCCCTCATCAGAGTGCCATGTAGATGCTTCCTAAATTTGGGCTGAATGCAGATGTAAGGAAGACATGATGCACAAATAGAGCAAGCTTCTGATGCTAGCATTCCAGGTCCCAGCTGTGCAGAAACCTGTGGTCTCTCAGTGAAGGCAAATCAGACAGAAGTTAATGATCAGCACAGAGCATGTTGCACACCATCACAGATGGCATGTAGGAGTCATGGGAGCCCTGTGGATGGACTCCCAAGCCAGACTGTGAGAGGCCCCTTGGGCTTCCTGGGGGAGGTGATTTTCAAGTACTCAGGGTCAAGTTGCACAAATAGAAAATGTTGGCAGGGATCAGAAAGTGTCAGGTAGAAGAAACAACCTGAAACCAGACAGGGACATATGTACTTACACTGGTGGAAGGAATTAAAGAAGTTGCTCTTCTGCTGGGTGAGAGAAGGGATATAAAATTCAGCAAACTCCCCAGCACCTGAACACCAACATTACCTTCCATGAAGGCAAACACTACATACATCCCTCAATTGCAGTGGGACAACTCTGAGACGCCTGCATCCAAAGTTCACCTTTTTGTATGTCTCATACTGAGTTCCACTTGCAAGGGGAGGCTGCTAGAAGGGAAAGAATGCTGAGCAGCACAGTTAGCAAGAGGAAGCTGTTCCTCCCTTGGAAGCCACATTTCTTGTAGTATGCAGCCCTTTGCATTGCCTCAAGTGACTGATTTTACCTGTGTCAGTCTGCTGTCTTCAAAATAGTTATAAAGATTATCTTTGCCATCTTCAGAGACTGTGAAGAAATACCTGTCTATTAGGTTAACATGAGAATTAAGTGTTCTACCTAGAGCTGAGATTACCAGTAAGGGACTGGAGCAGAGGGACATGAAGTCTTAGCTAGCCCTCATGGAAATAATTGTATGAAGTATGATAAAAAAATATGGTATGTGCTTAAAAAGAGTTTATTACTACAAAAGACATATTGCCATTAATCCCCTTCAAAATCCTCCTCACTTTGAACACAGTCATTCTATCATTCTTGCCACTTTCTGAAGCAGTTTCTGAAGTTCTTTTGTGAGCATCTTCTCTTGAACTGTCATAGCTGCCTCAATATCTTGAAACCATTTAGGACATTTACCTATCATGGTCACTTTGCCTTTGTGGAAGACCTAGAAGTTGCACAGTGCCAGATCTGGTGAAAAGGTGGATGAGGACACACTGTCATGTTTTCATGAATCTTCCTTTCTGTTGGATGGCACTCTGCAGCAGCATTCACCATATTTTTTATCACACCTCATTAAGACCCAAAGAGGATTTCAGAACTGCCTCAGAGAGTAGCAAGAACAATGGGTTAAGTGTGTTTGAAGCAAAGGGGAGTATTTTGTGGGGATGTCTTGGTTACTTTTCTCTTGTTGCTGAGACAAAATACCTGACACCCAAATTTAAGGGAGGAAGGGTTTATTTAGCTCATAGTTTGTGGAGATTTCAGTCTATACTTGGCTGGCTCCAAGGCAGAGTGGCACGTGGCACAGGGCAACAGTTCATGCTGCAGAAAACAGCAAAAGAAACAAGAGCAAAAAAGGAGTAGCAGCAAGCAGCCTCTTTCCCTCCCTTGCATTGTATGCAACCTACCCGCCCCAGGGTGGGTGTAGCACTCACACCTATAGTCCCAACATTGGACCACTAATCAATCATAAACTCTAAAAGCCCACTCCATGACTGCATGAGGCTTTGTGGGGGATATCCAGACATAAACCTATAAGAGGGGGATTCATGGTAATGTGTCTTTTACTGCAATACATTTGTTAAAAAAATTTTTAAACATTGTCAATATTTTCGGGTCATCCCTTGTAGAACTCCATGACTGTTCTGTAACCCCACACACTCCTTGCAGCCAGATCTGAGTTCTGAGTGATTTCCTGCCTGCTTGTATTGTTCTCTCCATCAGCACCTGAGCCCCAACACTATAATGCAAGATGCCCACAGATGATCTCCTGTCATCCTGAGTTTCACTTTATGCAAATGTCCAGTGGAAGATTCTTTAGATGGATAACAGGAATAATGATACCATTGCAAAATGTCTCCCTCTTCCACTTTTTTTCCAAGTACCGTAAGTCAGAAATTCACAGCCAGAATCTGGGTACTGAAGAAGAAACTGGAAATCAGACCCCTTCTGTTTGTTGAGATGCCCCTTACCTGCTCACTGTGAAGGTATCTGCTGGGAGCTAGGCAGGAGGCTGTGATGAAATGAAATCTTTCCTTCCCTTCCTTTTCACCTTCTTTGGCCTGATCACCAATTTGAGTTCCCTTGCAGGGAGAAGAAGGCAAACAAGGCAGAGATGGGAAGCCAGGTCTCCCTGGGGAGCCGGTAAGGAGCTCTAAACTTCTTACAGATTACATCCAACATTGCAGTTTCTTGGTAACAGCTGGTGTGGGGTGAAGGGAGTCTGTGGGCCAGGCACAGTAATCATTATTTCCAATGCATCATTTCTCCCTCTCCACCCAATGACCCTGCAAGATGCAGGTCCCCTTCCTGTTTCTCAGCAAAAGAAACTGAATCCCAGGTAGGTAAAATGTGGAGCCCAAAGTCATGTTATTGGCTGGCTACAGTGTAGGAGCCTAAGCCCTGGACTCCTTTTCTATCTTCCACTCTATTTTATTGCTCATGTGGTCTTGGGCATACAGATGTGGAAGGGATCTCTGGGGTAGATCAGGCCTGAGTAGAAATCTGGTATCTGAAAAGACTCTCCCACTAACAGATGACCTGGGTCTCGGGGGTTGGCAATTTACTGCCACCCCACTTTTAACTCTAGCACAGAGTTATACTTTTTTGTTCTTTTAATGCCAGCTGTCTACTGAGTTGGAATAAGTGCTCCTGTGGAAGCCTTGTGGCCCTTGAGCCTGTTGGCTAGGAGGCAGCAGGGTTTCTAACAGCGTTTATCTATGACCACTAAGTCAGACCCGCTGACCTTGGTCATCCCTTTTACTGAAGACTAGGTCTTCTGTCTTTGTAAATCTAGCCCTGGAGTACAGGCTTAGTGGTGGAGTCATTGGTTGGCATTTGGGATGTAGGGGGTTCCATCCCCAGCACCAAGAAAAAAATCCCACAGATGGAGGGGAAGATGGAGGGTGGCAGTAGTGGCTTAGATACCTGGGTTCTCCAAAGGACCAGCGTAAGGGATCTGGCTGATGTCTGAATGCATGAAGCTGACCTGGCTGCTCGGAGGCACCTCAGTTTGGACAAAGCAGAATTACAGAGCAGTGTGTGTAGTTCACTCTATTTTGTAGAAAACCAGGTGTATATATATTTTTCTAGCTCCTATATAGAGGCTATATAGACTCCTTGGGGAGTCTCCACAGCACACTCATGAGAGTGGTTTCCATCCATGCTAGGATGGTTCTGAGCATAGGGTTTACAGAAATGGGAAGGCAGCTTACACTCCATGGTACTGTTTTATTTTATTATCTTCTTTTTGGAACGATGTGTATGTGTGATATATTGATAAGTTTAAATACAATCACTAAATGAAAATATTTTATGTGAAATTGTAGCAACAGCAACAGCAGTGACAAAATGCCCCTGGATGCCGGCTCCTGTCCTTGCAGGCTTTGCGACCTGGAGTGAGTCAAATAGTGTCTCTGAGTTTTAGTCTCTTTTTACACAGAGGAAGAATAGCATACTGACTTGCCAGAGTTGCTGGAGGATCAAATGGGGTGAAAATGCATGCAGAGTAGCAGGCCTATCTAACTGTTAATTATTTCACTGAGTTACTTTTCACAACTGTCCTACTTTAGCTCCCAGTGAGGTCAGAACTGCAGAGCCTTTAGAGCCATTAAGTGGAATTACATAAAAGTTTCTGCAGCAAGGTTCATGTTCCATTCAATTTGTCTGGTCATAAACTATTATGACTCATTTTGGATCTTACACAACTTGCCAGAAGGAAGCACCTTCTTTGTCACTTTACAGTTTGGCAAATGCTGGAGCCACAATTCACAGCCGAGAGGAAAACCGAGAGCTTTCTGCACACTCACAGTGGACAGCTATTGCAGAGATAGAGAGGCTGATGCCCCGCTGAGCTGCCCATGGGGACAAAGGGTACAGCAGGGTGGAGCATGAGTGTGTCTTCCATGAAGCACTTAGGGACTGGGGCAATCAGCATTTCTCTCCCTTTTCCAAAAAATGCAGGTACCATTGTTACCCCCTAGACAGGCAGCGTCTAGCACTCACACCCCAAAGGCCAACCCTGATCTTAGAGCTCAGAACAGGGAAATGAATTTTCTGGCCAAGTTGCAGTATGATGAGATCTCCTTGGGTACTTTACTTAGCTAATACTTGTTCACTCTTGGCCTGTGTCAGGCACTGGGCAGGACTGATAGAAGACCAGGACTGTTCTAGATAAGCAGGGGCCACACAGGAGACAGAGCTGGTGACCTGGGGCCTGATGTGCCCATTCTAGACTTTTTCCATTGGCTCCCTCTGGAATTCCCTAGGACAACCATCCTAAGAGCTTCTCATATTGAGCCGTTTCAGAAGACACTGGCCTGAGGGATGACAAGAGTGTGTCCCTCATTGGGTTGAACTGAGGGTGTAAAGCTTTCTTGTGCCTGGCATATTGGTATCTCTCAATACCAGCTTATTATGGTCATTATTCTACTGGTAACTTGGGCCAGTGATGGAGATTATAGTTGACTCTGGACCAGGGCCAGGCTAGGCCTGTACACGCTCTATCACAAAGACCTATAGAGGAGGATCTCTGCTGAAAAACTGCAAGCCAGACTTTGGAAGGCAAGGGACACTGGTGTCCAGGAATGTTCCTGATCTCTCCCATCCACCTGAGAAATCATCAAGATCCTCAAGCTCTATAACCTATGAAAATGAGATGCACAGAATGTTTGAAAGATTTTGGTTATAGTGAATATAACCAGATAACATCTGGTTATAGTGAATAAAGACATAGAATGCTGCCCCATCCATCCAGCAGTCAAACTTGCCATCCCACCCACTTCTTCTGTTCTTCCTTCTTGTTCTGTACTTTTGAAAGATTTATCCTGATCTGAGCAGCCCAGGGCACTGGCTTTGCTCAAGGCTTGATCCTACCCAGAGCAGTGCCAAGCTGTGGACAGTAAAGAATGTTTAATGGCAAATGTGTGTTCATAGTATCTTTGTGTTTGAGAAGCTGTGTGAATGAGCACTAGGCAGATCCAGGGATCTACTGCTGGCCTGAGAAGAGCATATATCTGGGTGTAGTCTGAACCTGGGATTCCACCTGGCTTTGACCTTAGGAAGCTCAATAAAAATAAAACTGCTTTGATCCTCCATGCCACCATTGGAAAAGTACAATAGGTAATAGCTTCCTGGAGGTACTTTAGTGAATAGAGTTGTTATAACTAAAATGTGTGTCTTGGTTATTTTTCTCTCATCCTGGGGCAAAATTTCTGACACCCAAAATTAAGGAAGGAAAGGTTTATTTAGCCTATGGTTGGTGGAGGTTTCAGTCCATACTTGGCTGGCTCCAAGGCAGAGTGGTGCACGGCAGAGGGCAATAGTTCATAGTGGTGGAAAATGGCAAAACAGCAAAAGCAGCACAAGCAAAATGGGAAGAACAGCAGAGAGCAAGCCTTTTTCCTTCCCTTATATTGTAGGCAGGCTTCCCACCCCATGGTGGATGTAGCACTCAGACCCATATTCCCAGCATTGGACCATGAATCAATCATAAACCCTAGGAGCCCACCCCACGACTGCATGAGGCTTTGTGGGGACATCTAGACACAAACCATAACAATGGGCATGTAATTTCTCATCGGATGGGAGCACTTTGGACAGTGAAAAGTGGTCTGTTATGGTTTAGATCTAAAATGTCTTCAAAAGCTTCACATGTCTGGTGGTGTGGCTCGGGAAAGTCCTTGGATCATAGAGGCATTATATTCAACAGGGGATTCATCCATGGCTGAGATCATGGCTCAATGCGCTGTTGGTAGGTAGGGCCTAGTTAGAAGTGGGTCACTTGAGTGTGATCTAGAAGGGCATATTTTGGTCCTGGTTTCTCCTTTCTCTCTTGCTTCCCAGCTACCTTGAGGTGAACAGCTTACCTCCAGTTTTCCCTTTCACTATGCTGTTTCCACCTTGGGGCCAGCTGACCATGGACCAACTCCCCTGAGAATCGTGAACCAAAATAAACCTCTCCTTTAAGTTTCCAGTTTTGGTCATCTTGTCCCAGTAGTGGGTAAGTGACTAATGCAGGGACTGTGAGTAATGAATCTGAGGTTGAATCCTGTGGAACCAGCATCACCTCAAAAAACCTTGAAACACAACAGGTCTGGCTACTGCTTGTGGAGATTATAATGTATGGAAATGACTTACCACTCCAGGATGCAGACTGGCAGAAGGGACAGAGAGCAACCTTTGGAAACACAGTGGTGTGAGGGGCAAGCAGACAAGGACAGGGAAATCCCAGAACTGTTATTCTCACCTCTGCTTCTCTTCCTTACTTCAGGGCAAAGTGGGAGAGCCAGGTCTGCCAGGACCGGAGGGAGCACGAGGCTCCCCTGTAAGTACAAAACTGTGTTGTTCATCCTCGAATGAATCTCCCAACAACACAATTTGTGCCACTGTGCCAGGGTGGTTGGGAGCACTTGACAAAGAGGCTCCAAGAGTCCTTTTCTTCCCAGATGGGTGCTTCTCTCTGATTAGTTCTACATTTTCACAGATCGTAGCTTTGAAATTTATTTTCAAAATTTCAAGCATCACTAACTCCTTGCTGTTCTAAGCTGTCTTTGTTCTTATCCTCTTTGTTTTAATTCAGTGAGTTTTTCTCTGGATGATAGAACTTAATACTGAGTCATTCTTTTTCCCGTACTGATAGTTGAACTCAGGGCCTTCACATTAAACTACATTTCTAGTCCTTTATTTTTTTATTTTGAGACAGAATCTTGTTAAGTTGTCCAGACTGGATTTTAACCTATAATCCTCCTCCACCCTCTCAAAATGCTGATGTATGTGTGACCATGCCTGGCTAAATTGAGTCTGAGCCTCAGTTTTGAACAGTTTCTAGAGCTATAGCACTTTTCCAAATTAGAAAAGTAACCCATTCTAATTGTATAACAACAATAATGATGATCAAAATAAGAAAAGGAATGATATAGAGAAGAAAATACTTTTCATTCTACAGACCAGAGTAAAGTTGTGTTAATGTTTTAATATATATTTTCCTAGTCTGCTTTTCCATATATTAATTCAAACATATTTATGTATGTATTTATATCTCTGTCCAGCTATCTAGCTATTGTACATGTACATATATGCATACATACTTTTTGTATAAGATAAGCTCTTTTAGGGTTATATTTTCTAAATCCTTTATAGCTTCATAATTTTAAAGTTATTTACACAGTTCTTTATATTTTTTTGAGAAAAATCAATGTTTAATGAAAATCCTGAAATCCAATTATCTGGCAAGAACTAGCAGATCATAATGCCGGTTCTGTTCCTGAATGTTGTTTTTCTTTTAAGGAAATCAATAAATCATCTGGCTAGTATTCAATAAAGAGGGAACAAAACACAAAAATCAATTTTCCTGTTTCCAAAATCTCCTGAAGAAACTTGAGAACAAGAACCACTATTGGCTACAGGGATTGAAACACAGAATTAGTGATCAGTTTTTTTTCCCAAACATACTTTAAATTGATGATCCCATTATATCCTTTCTGAGGGCATTTTGAAACTTATTATGAAGCACAATGTAGTCTTTCATAAGTTCAGGTGTTCTGGTGGACGATGGTCAGGTTTATATAGATAGCTCCTGGCGTATGGGAGAGAAAGGGGCCACCTTTCTGTACAGACACCCATTTGCGGATGCCTGGCCTGGGTCTAAGACCCACTGCTTGTTAGGCATTGTGAAGACACGCAGGGGAGAAGCCCAAGCCGGTAAAGCAAGATCCACCTTCTATGGCTGGCATGGCAGGAGTCAAAGCAAAATTTTGAAGAATGCTATGGGCTTCAAGAGACACAAACCCAGGTTCACCCTTCATTTTATTGTTTATTAACTTGGTGAGCCTTGATTGCAGTGAGACCTCTCTGAACCTCTGTTTTCCTTTCTATGAAATGGAGATCATACTAGCTCCCACTGCTGCAGGGTGGTTGTGAAGATTAAAAGAAAAGACAATGCATGTAACATCCCCAGCCAAGTGCCTGACACATCAGGTGTGGCTCAGGCTCACTGTCCCTGCCTCTGTGCTGCCTGGATTGGGACTCGTTGCCCTTGAGGAAGATACTGGTATCTAGGTAGTCTCCGGCCCAGCTGTTGACCAGCTGTCGCACTCTTCAGCCCTTACTCAGTCCTCAGGGCTGCTCTGTAGCAGTAGATTTTACCCTGCTACCTCATTTTTCAGCTGTGGAAACAAAGGCCTGGGAAGGAAAGTGGAGCCATCTGGATCCACAGCTAGGAAGTGAGGCCAGGGTTTCCTCCACATCCCATCAGACCCAGGGGCACAGGAGGCCCTCCCCCAGGTGATACTGCAGTTTTACCCCAAGGAGTCCTATCATTCTCATTTTCTAGCTGTAGTGTTAGGACCCTGTGGGGCTCAGTGCCCATTCTGAGGTCACAGTGGCTGAGTCTGGATCCAAATCTGAGAGGACCTCATTTTTCGTCTTCCTCTTTCTTTTTCTCTTCCTTGTCCGTGGCTTCCAGACCCTGGCCTCTCACTGGGCCCCAGACCTGTGTCCAATTGATATACAGAATCTCACCAGATCCTCTCCACAACTGTACAGGCTGCATCCATCCCATAGGGAGGAGGCAACCAGGTGACAACTGGTCTGGTCCCCAAGACCCTATGTGGCCACCTTGCAACTACCTTGTTGGAGTGCGGCTGTGGAGAGGTGGGCTCTGCAGGCAGACTGCCTGTGTGTGCACCTGGCACCCTTGCACTATCTGTGACAGGCCAGCCCAAATCTCAAGTCCTTCAGCTACAAAACAGAGGAAACAGAAGCCATCTGGCAGAGCTTCCTAATCATGAAATGAGCTGACATAGCGCGGTGCACTATGGGGCCACAGGGGCTTCCCCCTTTCCCTGCCATCCTTCTCATCCCCCTCCATGCCTCCTGCATTGCTTCCTACTTGCCCTTGGCACAGAGCAGCCAACAACTGACAGTGAATGACGCGAGTCAGTGAGCCTCAACCAGAAGGACAGGACACCGCGCAGCCCTCACCTGTGTGCTTGCTCTGCTCCCTATGTCTGCTGTTTGTGGAGTAACTCTTACTTTTTTCTAGGGCTTCAAGGGACACACAGGTGACCCTGGTGCTCCTGGCCCCCGGGTAAGTGGATGCCAGGTGATTCAGAGCTGACACTTCTAGGGAGAGGACTCCTGAGGCCCAGAGGCAGGAGTATCACGATACTGAAAAGGAGAGTGGGCACCCTAGCATGCTGGTATGGTGGGCAGCATTGTCCCCTCACTTGGTCTGATCCTCTAGCTGGTCCTCTGGGGGCCAGACACTGATGCGCTAGTTTGGCAAAAGCAGTTGGGACTCGAATTGGTCTCCACCATCTGCTGCACAAGGACGCTGCACATGAGCCCTTTGAAGCAGGTGCTGGTATCTAGCTGATTTTGTAGGAGAGGAAGCTGAGGCCCAGAAGCTGTAGGTGATTTTCCCGGGCTCCTAAAATTCTGTGGGATATATTGGCCTATCTCAGCTCAGACAGGAAGCCTTTGAGTTTGTCCTCTACCCTTTAGCTCCTGTCTCTTCGGAATGCTAGGAATGGAGGTGACCTCAGGGGTCAACAGTGAGACCCCTGTGTGCCATAGATAATGAGGCGACTGCTGCAGTGTAGATAGGGTCCATTGGTCAGGAGATCAGGAGGTGGGATCCAAGCAGGTTTGCCTGACTCTTTTGCTGGTGCTGTTTCCCAGCTGTGCCTCTGGGATGGCGCGGATGGCCCCAGGCACTGGTTACTGCCTTTGAGTGTACACAGACCCTGGCTCAGGCCCAGCACTGTGTGCTGAGGCTGCCCTGGCCCGGAGACCATTCCCGAGTGATAGTCCCTGTCTCTGCGTGGCTCCAGGTCCTCAGTGCCCCTGTGCCTGAGGCAACCCATAGCTGAAACACCTCAGTCCCTAACAGCAACTTTCTGTTTCTAGGGAGAACCTGGTGCCACTGGGCCCCCTGGCCAGGAAGGGACACCGGGAAAAGATGTAAGTGGGGGTGCTGTGGGGCCTAGGCTGTGGGTGGGGGAATCAGGAAGAGCACATACAGGTCATGTCCACAGTTATCTAGCACAGATGAGACCGGGACTTCCAGCCTGGTGGGTTGGTGGCTGTGCCTTCTACTTCTGGCTTTTTCGGGTTAATGCTGCTTGGTAGGCAAAATGCACCTGTTGGATCAGCTTCACGTGACTTGAGAGGCGTTTGAGGGGTTCTTCTGGATTTTTTTCTCTGCCTCCTGTGCACTTCAGTGTTCAGAGTACTCCTGAAGCCCTCACCACCACTACTACCACCCGCTATTCTCTTCAAGCCTTGTCTTTCAGTCAGGGATTTGGACAATCAGCAAACATTAGGACTAATACAAACAGAACATATTTCCATTCTGTGGGATACAAACTCTTTCTTTGTAATTGTTTCAGTCATTTAAAACCCTGTTCTATATGACTCTGGCAGCTCATTTTTATTTGGTCTTGGAATCTGTACAGAAATTGTTTTGTTTTAAACCTCAGTTGTAAAAATGAAACCCTGAGATACAGAGCGGTTAAGGGCTCACTTGTGGGCCCATGGAGTCACAGGCTGAGGAACAAGCCTGAAACTAATATTTTCCAGCTCAGCACCACACTCCCCAATCCAAGGACTGGCTGCTCATCCTATGCAGTGACCTGCAGGGCTGCCGGGCATGTGGGGAGGGAGTGTGGTCTCCTGGGAATGGTGCCTGGGCAGAAGCATGGCTTTCTGTCTGCCTTTGCATCCTCCAGGACCAGCCTGGGAGCTGGTAAGACAACCCCTCCCCATGGCTCTTGATTGGCTAAGTACAGTGGCTCTTTGGCTGACCTGTTGTCATCGGACAAAGGACCTGGAAGAGACTGTAGGGAAAATTGTGATGTAGTTCCTATGTTTCTCCTTTGCTTTTATAAAACCAATGCAGTGTCTGGAGCCACATGCAGAGAGGTGAAAGCAAAGGTCTCTCCAGCTCAGTCCCAGTTACTGCCCAGTGAAACAGGAGAACTTCAAGAGATTTAATCCTCTCAGCTTCCTTCTCTTGGTTTGAGGTGGAATTCCTGATCCCCCTGGGGACCAGATGGAGCTGTCTGAGCTGGTGAACACACACTAATGAACACACCAGGGCCTGCAAGCATCCCTCCTCATAGCCAATGAGCTTGTTGCCTGGAGGGCAAAGTAGGGATGCTGTTGGTGCTCGGGGGCCTCTTAATGAAATTGTCTACATTTGAATCTAAGCCTTCATCAGCTTCACACAGTGGCTCTGTGATGATGTGACCCCATCTTTGTTTGTTCCAGGGTGACACTGGACCTGCAGGGCCACAGGGTCCTCGAGGACCCAGGGGCCCATCGGTGAGTTTTGCTTTGAGTCTCCTTTGGTACGTGTTTCTGGGTGCATGGCTGTTACCATGGTGATGCTTGCTTGGCTCACCCTGGTGCAGTCATGTGTGTACATACAGCCTAGCAGGTGGTAAATAGCCATTGTCCTCAGACCCTACTGCCTTCCTACAAGAAGCTGGCAACTTCCCTGGAACCACTCACTCTCATTCTAAAATTAAAAAGCTGCCACTTGGCTACAAGGGGTCTGTGTGGCTTCCTCTGAATCTGCTCTCTCTGGTTTTATGCTATTCTGAGGACTGGAACTTGCATGTCATACTTACTTCCTGCAGGCACTGTAACAAGTAACACATGCAGGTGGCTTGAATAACAGTGATGTGTGTCCTCACAGTTCTGAAAGCCTGAATTCTGAGGTTAAGGTAGCAGTGAGGTTGGATCCTTCCAAGGTAGAATCTGTCACATGTGGCTGCACAGCTTCTAGGAAATTGCTGGCTGTCATGGCTTGTCTTAAGCCATAGATCTGTCACCCTGATCCGTGCCTCTGGCATCACATGCTTTTCTTCCTGTGTGCTTGTCTTCAAAGTTCCCCTTTTGATAAGGACACTAATCTTATGAGATTAGAGGTCACCCTATTACAGTGTGAGCTCACGTTAGCTACATGTACTCTAGGGACCCTACTCTAAGTAAGTCACGTTCAGAGGTTGTGGACATTGGAACTTCAGAAAGGTATGAATTTTGAGGGCCACAGTTCAACTCACAACATTCCACATGTTGGTAAATGTTTTGATTTTTACCCCTGCCTGTATGTGCACCTAGGCAAATCCTTCTCCTATCTGTAAGTAATCTGAGAGAGTATGGGAGAGAAAGCCAGGAAATAGACATTTAGGTACCTAAAGTTGTGTGGGAAAACACTCAATCAAGAGTCATAGTGAACACAAACTGAAGGTGGCAGCTGCCTGTGTAACAAAAGACACTATTTTATGGCAATTTTTTGTTTAATAAGTAAAAGGAATTCTATACCTATATCAGTAAATGCCCAAACCAGTAACATAGTCTTTCATTATCATTATTCAATACTATTATTGCATGTGTTACATTTTTCTGTGACCGGCATTGCAGAGCTTTTGTTTACAACTACGTCAACCCAAAGGTGACATCAGGATGGCTATGGCATCATCAGGCAATTGGCATTCCTCTGCTCCACTATAATGTCATGGCACCACGGTCATAATACAGTCTGTCCTTACCTCAGTGTCCTTAAAACTTTCATGTTGCTTTCGTTAAAATCTATAGTTACACATGGGTGGGAAAAGCCCATGTGACAACCACCTTACAACCACTGCTTTCTAAAAAATACCGGGAGATTCTGTGCTGGGGAGTGCATGTAGTATTAACATAATTCATTCATTGAGTTTTCCTCAAACCTTAAGGCAGGTGCTGTGACTCCCATGTACAGATGCAAAAAAGAGAGGCACAGAGAGGCAAGGTAATGTGCCTACAGTCACATAACTAGTAAGCAGCAGAGCTGAGATTCTGACTCAAGCAATCTGGCTTCAGAGCCCGCAATTGAAGCACCTGTTCTGGCCCTGTGTGTATCAGATTTCCTCTCATCAAGGTCATCCTGGAGGGAGGGGCTTGCGCAGGAGTTTGAAGCTCAGAACATTGGGGGAGGGAGCTGTGGCCTCCACTATGAAGCAGCACAGTGACCCAAGGGACTCCTTAGAAGAGGGGGATGTGCGGAGTGGCTGCATGGCCCAGGCAGGAAGCAGGTCCTGGCTCTAAGAGGCATTAAGTCCACAGAGCCCGGGTGGGACCCTGTGTGGCACTGTATGCAAATGTGCCTTGGTTCTTACCCGCCCTGCCAGGGGAGAACCAGAGGGGGAGGGATGAGAGATCATTTCCATAGGGATGAGGCAGAACACATATTTTTAGAGAACACAGATGGGTTGGTGGGCGGAGGGAGTGAGGGAGGGGCGGGATGCAGCTCTCCCTGGAAGGGCTGAGTCCACTAAGACTGTGTGCGGCTCCTGCACCAGTCTGTACTATAGTAGCTTAGCATTCCAGGCAGGGCCCATGCCTTCTTGGTGCCTCAGTTTCCTCATCTATGGTATAAGAGTGAAGGCATCTATGCTGCACAATTCCTGGGAGGATCTGGTGAGATGTGGCCCCTGATGATTTATGGTCATGTGTGCATTTTTTTGGTGGAAGGCAGTCTGTATTTTCTTTTTTTAATCACAAACCCACAAACCATTTCCTTAATGCAGGCCAGAGCAGTAAGGGATAGGGTCGGCACAACTTTGCTCAAGCAGCCTGTTAGCTGTCCAGTGCCTCAGTTTTCCTATTTATAAAATGGAAATGATGTCAGTGTCTGATGCAAGCAGTGAGTTAACACATGTGAGGAAGGCCTGGTATGAAAGAAGTGCCCAGCTGAGACTGGTTGCTTTTAACTATGATGTGTTTCTATGAAGCTGACACATATGTGGACACATGCTGCCAAGATTTGGGGGCATTCTCAGGCTTCTGTCAAAGGGTAAGTGGAGAGTGGTCCTTTATAAAGTTCTTGGCTTACTCACTGAGCAGAAAGCCTCTGGTGTCTGGCAGTGTTCTAGATGCTGGGGACATAAAGAATGACAAGGCGCAGATCTTGTCTTTGAGTTACTGGGTTACTCATGGCAGGGAAGAGAGCCAGGCAAAGTTAAAGCATCCAGTAGGAACAAGCCCTCAGGGTTGAAGGACAAATGAGGCAGCCAGGTCTGCCTAGGGAAGCTGAGCTGTGAATTTTAGGCTCAACAGGAATTTGCCTGAGCCTGAAGGGATTTATAGGAGTATAAACCTAGAAAACTTTAGCTGTCTGACTTTTCTACTACCAAGGATCTTATAGTTAAATGTATTTTTCAGTGTCACAAATGCGTACAAACACCCATCGGCTTAGAGAACATTAAAACTGGGAAAATCAGTCCAAAAACCTAGAGTGGATGGACCTTGCACTGTAGAACTTTGTGTGAAGCATTTCTCGACTTTGTGTGTCACAATCTTCACCTGCAAAATGGGATTATAGTGATGCTCATGGCAAGACATAAAAGGAAATAAGCATGTGGGCCTGCTTTCTAAGCAAAAGCAACTCCATGGTAGTATGAGCAGTTATTTGTAAGTTGGGTTGTGCTAACTGGTGTGTTTCTTTATAACAGTAGGGAGTTGAAGGATGAATGGATGGATGAATGACTGTGGTCATGATTATTTACTGTGCCTGTGTTGTGAGCACCAGTCGCTGGGCTGGGCCTATTCATACCCATAGATCTACTTAATTCCACAACGTTGTTGTTATGAATGAAATATTGCAAGCTCCTTTCACAAGTTGAGAAATATCCTCCGAGGACAGAAGTGGTTTACTGAGTGCCGTGCTGGCCCCAGGGAAAACAGGGTCTGTGAAATCAGGTGATACATGTGCAGTGAAATGTAAAATGTTTCTTCGTTCTGATGTCCTTCTCTGTGATGCCCTGGCATAGCTTTCTGGCAGAATGATTATTTCTGTTTCTTTCACCAGGGAAACAATGGATCACCAGGCTCCCCAGGAGACCCTGGCCGTCCAGGAACCCCCGTGAGTACAAATACTGCTCTAACTGCTCCTTGACGTGACACCCACAGGGCAAGCTCAGCAAGGACAAGTGGCTGATGTCAAAGTGTCTAGTCTCTCCCTGGGGCATCAGCCGGGAAATATGGGTCTGAATGATGGAAATAGACTAGAGGCAAAAGCATCTAAGGAGGACCTTTTTCAAAGTTCAGAATACATGCAATTATACTTCAGGCTGTCTGCTGTCTATGACCACAGGTATCCAGAACAATTGAACACTAAAAAAGTTTAGTAGTATTGCACAGCGGGTGTGTGATGGTTATAGAGAATGGACAGGCAGAGTCAGGTGGTAACCTTGACCTTCTCGGATGATAAGGTAAGTGTGCAGCTTGTAAATGGAGAGGGGCCCACGGAGGAGAGAGAGCAAGTGGGATCTGTGGCTGCCAGGAAAGGGGTGGCGTGCTGACCAGCAGCATCTGGGTCAATGGATTGGGGGACTTAGGGTTCAGGCCTGGTTGATGAGGACATGTGATGGGTAGATGGTTCTTTGATGGGTCAGATCTGAGATTGGATAAGCCCAACTCTGACCACAAGGCTCTGCCGAGCACCACCTTCTTGCATTTTTTTTCTTTTAACTGAAACTGTAACCTTGTCCAGGAAGCTGTCTTCAAATATGGTGGGTCAAACAGCAATTTTTCCAGGCAATCTGCTGACCATGCTCAGCCAGCTAACTGTTGGCACTGTGGAATCAAGGTGACTAGAAATTCACTAGTCCTGGGTAAACTGAGCACCCACATGGGCCCCCGGTCACCTGGGGGAGGCCCTTTTCCTGTTGGACTGGATACAGCTGTGATGAAGTAGTCGGCCTTTCTGGTAATCTTAATGCCTGCCGCCGGCATCCCCAGTGTGGAGCTGTCACTCTGACGAGGCATGCCAGATGGGGCAAGACACACCCCATTCAGGACTGGCTCCAGAAAACCCACATATAGTGGCTTCCCAGAAAAGTTGAAGTTGAAAGGTTCCCAGAAGACCTTCTCAAAGATGGAACCAGCCACACTGAGCCTCAACCTCTTAGCATCTTATTGTAAAAAAAAGACTACCACCTCCCTTTTTCTGACTTGTGTATGTGTGTGCATGTGTTTTCTTATATAGGGATTGAACACAGGGACTTCACACTGAGATACATCCCTAACCTTTTTATATTTTGTATTGAGACTAAGTCACTACCTTGCTCAGGCTGGCCTCAAACTCCTGATTCTCCTGCCTCAGCCTCCCAGAGTGCTGGAATTGTAGGCATGTACCACCACCGTGGTTCCCAGAGGACTCTTTGAAAGGTCGCTCACATCTGTGTGTTTTGGTAAATGTCTGTCCCATTTTGTGTTTGTTGCTTTGGGTAAAAAGATCACCGGCTGTTTATGGAGGTATTTTTCATCTTTCTCCCTGCTGTACCAGTGCTAATGAGATTCCCAATGCACCATGTCTTTCCTTGACCCTTTCTTCTCCATCCCAGGAAAAGGGTCTTGTCTTCGGTTTTCGGATATCTCAAGCCTGTAGAGTTGTGAGGAATCAAGAGATTTCTGAATCTGCTTGGGTTGACACTTCACCTTGAAGAATTAATTCCCTGTTTCACCTTCACAGGGCCAGAAGGGAAGCAAAGGAGAAAATGGTAGCCCGGGACTTCCTGGCTTCCTGGGTCCTCGTGGACCTCCGGTAAGCAGAGGATCTCCATGGGGACCCTGATGCCTGGCTCCAGGGTAAAATTCACGTTCAGTATCACAGCAGTGTGGTGTGAGGTCAACGTGCTTCATGATTTGGGAGACAGTGGGGAACTCAGAGGTCTCACCTGCCCCACTACTCCCTGATTGTTGGTCATTAGGAGAGTCTTCCAACATCTCTTGGCTGCCTCATTGCTCAAATGGCTGTAACAGAATCCCTGGGCTCTGAGGACTAGATGAGATGACCCGTGTAAAGGTGTTGCAGTGCTGCCTGACCCAACGCAATGCTCAGGAAATAGAAATGATTGTGATGGGGATATGGCGGGATAGTGGTGGTGGTAAGAATCCTAGAACTTGAAGGACCCTTAGAAATTATTTTAAAGATGAGCAAGTTTGGACTACAAGGTCAAAACCTGTAAGTGGCATAGTCAGCCTGCATCCTAGCTGGTGCTTGAGTCTAGGTCTCCTGACTTGACAGCTTGGTGCAGGGAGAAGCTGCTGGGTGGTCGTTGCTGGGCTCCACACTGGCCCCTGGTGCATTCTGCATGCCTGGACCATCGCTGAGAGTGCTGACCTGCAGATGAGGTTCTGTGTACCCCGCCAGGGTGGCAGTTCTCCACAGTGCTCTGCCTCCACCTCCAGTTTAGTCCTGTCCCACAGTACCAGCCCTTTCTGGCAGTGTGCCTTCTTTTACCCCCTTCTCTCTGTTGCCCACATATGGATGGGTCTGTCCCCTGAGGTCTACTCAGATGCATTTACACTCACTTCCTTTTCCATCCCTTCGGTGATGATCTGGCTGCCACTGGTATCCAGGCACCCACTCTTTACATCAAGTATTCCTTTCCTGTGTACATAGTAGGCCATTTTGTCAGGCCTTGCTACATACCTGCCACTGTTCTGAGTACTTTACCAATACTAAGGCATTTAAATCTCACGGTACTTGATGAGGCAGGTAAACTGCTTTTCCAATGTGACAGATGAAGAAATGAAGGCACAGAGAATTTAAGAAGCTCATGAGACATTGTTTGAGATCACAGAGCTAAGAACTACCAGAGCCAAGATTTGCATTCAGAGCCCAGTCTTGTCCGTGTCCTGTTTCACACTCTGAACTTGCTCCTCGGTGTGTCCTCCCTCCCACAACCAGAAGATTTGTAAAACCAGTGCTCTGGAGGGGCCTTTGGGTGGAATCAAACATATCCCATTGCCCAGAAACCCAAAGCCTGGGCCTCCCCTCCCACCCTGGGACTTCTCACACTTGCCTGCTTCTGCACAGGCTGAGCAGGAATCCTGTGCTTGGGATGTCCTTGGTCAGGTGGGCCATCGATTACTGTCTTTGCTGAAACATGACTTGAATGAAATGTCAGTGTTGAAGACAGTTGTGCTACTCAAAATGTGCCAGTGCTGCAGAACCAACTGGTATCTTTTATTGTTCTGTTTCATAGGGAGAAGCAGGAGAAAAAGGCATGCCAGGCAAGGAGGCAAGTATCACGCTGCTCCTCCCTTGGTGACCCTTCCCTTGGGAGCAGAGCGCCGGCCTCGCGGGTGGGCAGCCTGCAGTAGAAGGCCCTCCACTCACTTAATGCCTTGTTGTCACTGCATTGAAATCATTCATGCTTTTTGCACAAGGGGCCCGCGTTTTAATTTGCATCAGCTCTCATAGGTTGTGCACCCACAGGGATACCACCTGGACACATCTCTTTCCTCGTCTCCCTGTCAGGATCCACTCTACCAAGGAGTGCTATCAGCTCCAACTTCACAGAAGCCCTCTGTTCTGTCCAGCCTTCCCCATGGCTCCCACCTGGCACCTAGCGCAGTCTATCACCCCCTTTTACGGGGACTATGGCCTTGGCATCCCAATGGCTCCCTCTGTCCAGCCTTGGCAAGCCAGAGGTCTGTGGAGTGCCATGAGTAGATTAGACCACTTCACAGTCTAGATGTCAGCTTTGTCCCCCCTCATGTTCTCATTGGCATCCAGGATGCTCCAGAGCCTGCCCACTGCCGCCCACTCAGCTCCTATCACTCTGGAAGTTTAGGCCCTAAATGCCAAATCTTCCCTCAGGGTCCTTCTTTAAGAAAGCCCATACCCTGATCTCCCTCTTCTTTCTGTGTCGACCTCCCTTCACCTGCAGGGACAAAGCAGGTGCCCCCATCCTGTATGAGCCCTCTGCCCTGCTCTGACCCACCCAGGGGGCCAGCTCAGAGTAGGTAGCAGAAGTGTTGGCAGATGAGCTCCAAAATTAACGGAGCAGAGAGTTCTGTGGACAGCAGCATATCCATTTCAAAGCCTGTGCTGTCTTCTGAAGAAAGATGGGTTTGTGTGCTATGGTTTTGGATTACCGTGTTCAGCAGGGTGGGGGAGTGGTGGCTTCCTTAAAACTGGATCAAATGGTCCATGTCTGAGAAGCATTTGCTACTGGCCCAGCCATGTCCTGCCACTTACTGGGCATATCACTCACACATTGATCTATCACTGGTCCCTCTTGCTTACTGGATTGAGGTGGAGGGAAATTACGCCAAGCTTGGTTTTTTGAGGGCTTCATCACCCCATGTGATTATAGCTGTGCTGCTATTTTCACGAATGCTCTCTGGCTCCCTATTGCCTTTCAGAGGGATAAGCAGACACCCAGGGTCTTCCTAGACCTGACTGCAACATCTTTTTCAATTGTGAGCTCTTGCCTTTTGCTGAAGCACACACAATGTCCCTACTGTCTTCAGGAGTTGGTCTTCATTCCTAGTCTACCTGGAGCACCTTTCCCACCTCCTGTCTCTGTTAGATTTAAATCTGATCTTCAAAGCTTTATGCTCCCAACACACAAACTCGTGCTCTTTCTCCCGGGGCTGAGGAGCACCTTCATCTCCTATTGCAAAAGCCAAGTACATCTGTGTCATGTTAGAATTGTATCCATATCTATGTCTTAGCTAGGCTACGGGCACAGTGAGAACTGGGACCATGTCCCCTCCCCTCCCCCGGAGCAAAGGTGATGCCCACATGAGTTGGGTACAGTGAGTGTTTCTGGGCTGAGATGGAAGCTGTGGGCAGGCTCAGAAGAGCTTGAGAACATTTGCCTCCCTGAACCAGCACAGGCTGTGCCCCCTGCTGATGGGACAGGAGCTTCTGGGTGAGCTTGCTCTCCAACTCTTAAGCCCTGTGCTTGGTACTTGGGACAAGGTTGATTTTGGACAAGGTAGGGTTTGGGATGGGCAAATGGATAGGAAAGAAAGGAAAAAGACCAGGTCTCACTTCTCAAAAGCTTTTCGTCTAAAGGAAAGACAGACAAGTCCATCTCTGTCCCACATCTGGGGAGAAGACAGGTGTCACCTGGAAGGCGTGGGACCCAGGCTTAAGAATGAAGTCTTGCCAGAAGAATCATACAAGGGCTTGCAGAGGAAGGACCAGGGTCCTGGGCCAAAGAAAGGCAAGGGATATGTAGGTAGGGAGAAGCAGAGGCCAGCAGGGAGCCAGGCGTCTCGGCAGTGAGGACCAGGGGGTTGCCTCCCTCCTTTATGATGTGTCTTCCCTCCTGGGGGCTGTGGGAACTTAGAAGAGTTCTTACCACTTGCCACTTCTCGTAGTGTTAGTGGGAGGAGAGGGCTTGCTGGAGGGGTGGGCTGAGGCTGGGTCAGTTAGTTACCTGGACAGCAGGTGGGGCCGGGTACTGACACAGGGAAGATGGTGAGCAGAGGCCATGGCTCAGCAGACCTGCATGCTTCCTGCAGTGAGGACTGTAAGTCATTGGGGTCAGCTGAACTAGAGTCAGCTGGGGCCACAGAGAGCATGGGTGCGTATCCAAGACCAGTTGACGTTGCGCCTTTGGGCAGCAAGAGGGTGGCTCATCCTGAGAGGTACAGGAGAAATCTAAAGAGGCTCAACCATAGTTTGGTGCTGTCCTCAGTCAAGGGTGAAGAGGTTAGGAGGAAAGAAGAGAAGAGGAAGTCAGCCAGATTCTCGAGGTCTGTACAAATCAGGCGGAAGCTCTTGGGGAACCTTATTTCTCCAGGACCTTTGTGCTTGCCATGCGGAGCTGAGAACCAGGAAAGAACCAAGAATCAAGAAGGGTAAAGATGCCAGCACAGGTGGCCCTGTGCAATGACCATGTCCCCTTGGTCTCACTGCAGGGTACCCCTGGGAAGCCCGGAGAGCCAGGAGCCAAAGGAGAAAAGGTAAATAAATGCAGGAGTACAGGCCCTTTGCACACACTGAGTGTGGCCTTCCACAGTGCCAAGGCGGCTTTAAGGCGGCTGTTTGTCCAGGGTGGATAATAACCAGCCCAGCTGGAGAACCATCTCATGCAGCGGCTGCTGATCAGTGTTCCCTGGGAAATCTGGACCCCAGCTAAGGGGCTTCTTTCCCCTCCCCCCATATTTTTGTACTCAGTGTTTTTCTGCTCTTCCTTTTGGTTATTTTGAGGAATAAAATCATGATCATAATTACAAATGCAAAGGCAAGTGTGGGGAGACGCTGACAGATTTCCTTCTCCCCCTGTGCGAATGTGCCCGCATGATGTGCCTGGCTCCCAAAGTGACAATTTGCTGGGAGCCAGATTTGTCACTGGAAGTGACAAGGGAACAGATTTTCCCATAATGAGTTGCCTTGGTGCCACACTCAGACGTTTCCTTTCTCCAGAAACCAAGATGGAAAAGTCATGTGTGTGTATGTGTGTGTGTGTGTATGTGTGTGTTTGTGTGGCCGTGCAGATTAGCCAGAGGGGGTGGGAAGCATCCTCACACTCACAGCGGATGCTCCCTTTAGTGGCTCTTGCGCGTCTCGCTGGGCTGGTCCACGGTCTTGTGTTTGGTCAGCCTTCACAGTGTTGCAAGACACCGCCGTCACCCCACCCCCGCTTGTTTTCCTCAGTCCTGCAAAGAATTTATCGCGGCTTTCTTTGCAAGATGGTTGGGTGGGGAGCTAGCCAGGGTGGAGACATGGCAGCAGAGTTTCAGGCACTCCAGGGCTCTGGTCTCTCACTGCCCCCTTCCAAGGACTTTGGATGCACTTTCCCTTTGCTGCTGGTCCCCACGTGATGGAGCCTGGGAGGGGCCATGGCTGAGAGCAGTCGGGTCCTCAGGAGGCTGTCACTCAGGTCCTGTGAGCATTGTTGTGGGCTGAGGGCTTCAGTTTTGGTGGAGGGCCAGGGAATTCAGACCGCAGGTAGAAACGTCATATCTAATAGCAAATCAATAAAAGCACAGCTTGTCTTTCCCTTGCTAAGTGGTTGAAGGGAATAGTGCCAGGGTTCCCGTAGGTTCCTAGGGAGATTTGAAATATGGGACAATCTTCTCATCTCAAAGTGACAGGAGACATTTAATGAGTAGGAAATACTGTACCACTTGTGGCACCCGGGTATATAAGGAACCAGGGTTTTTAAAGACCCCTGCAGTCAGGCTCACTAAAGATTACAGTGCCGCCATGGAATGCACCGGATTTGGAAGGGACACCCTCGGATCTGGCTAACGTAATCATTTCATTCTCTGCTTTTCTGATTATTGTCGAAATTTGAGATGCAATGCAAGGTCATGACTAAACATGAAAACTGCCAGCAAGGAAGACGATGGAAGTCACGTGTCCTCGCCATCCCGTCTCTCAGCCCGCCCCTTCCCGGGGTCTTCGCTGCCTGTCTGCTTTTACCAGGACACCTTGAACACAGAACCAGGGCTGTTACACACACGCCCTGGCCTCCCCTGCACCCTCCCCCACTCTACAGAGGTCACTCTCTCCACGCTTTTGCTCCAGTCACATCTCCTGAAGCACGCACCTGAGATGCTGTTTCAGAACTGAGCAATTTCCGTTCTCAAAGATTCCAAGTCATGCCCCTGACAAGGCACATTTCCAGTTGCCATCTTGTTTCTCTTCTTTCTCTCCCTGTCTGCTCTAGACCAGCAATGGAGTTTCTTACACTCCACATCCAGGAAGGTGGCTTCCACGTGTTCGCTGACCACTGAGCACTGGCAGCATCTGTGGCCCATAGACACCAGGGACTGTGCTGCCTGCCCGGTGCTGCCCTGCTGCTAAGTCATGGATCCTGTACCCCAGGCTCTGGGCTGGTGATGGGCAGATGTGTGCAGGCAGTGAGCACAGCTGTGCGGTGGGACTCTGTGAACACAGAAGAGCAAGGAAGAGCATAGGGAGGGCCTGTGAGAGGGGGCTATGCATGTTTCTCCAGTGTTAGAGGGCGGAGCTTCACCTAGGTTACAGGTGGCAGCTGGCCTAGTCTCCAGGAGGAACCATACTTTTGCGGGCAGCCTGGGAGTGGAAAGTTCATTTTTCTGAGGTGTACAGTGAAAAGCAGGGCTCCCCCACTTCCTATCCATTCACTGGTAATGAACCCCTTCTGCAGCATTCCACAGTTTTGTATCTATACCCAGCAAATTGGTACAGTTAAAACACTGTAGATGTTCTACACCTACAATTTCAGTGTAACAGTACAGGCCGATGAGTGTCCACAGAGGCCCCTTGGCCACATCCCTGTGTTTTGGCAGCTTAGTGCTCTGTGATATGGATGTGCCACAGCTTCCTATTGCCCTCCAGTGACAGGCATGTGAGGGGTTCCCTTATGGATTCTGGAATTGGGAAGTCAAGGCTCTCTCTCCCCTAACTTCTGCAGGTAGTCTCAACCCCCATGTGCTCATCTGTATGATAAGGTTGTTGATAGGATGATTCTGACCCTCTGTCTTGAACAGCATGACCAAGCCTTCCTTGGAGTCTCAAGAGGCAGCTACATCTGCTCTCTGCTTGTTCTTCCATCCCTGACCCGTACACTCATGTACTTTTCTTCTCCTTTAGGGAGACCCTGGGATCAAAGGGGACAAAGGACTGCCTGGTGGAAAGGGTCAGCCTGGGGACCCTGGAATCCCAGGCCACAAAGGCCACACAGGTCTGACGGGCCCCCAAGGGCCACCTGGGGAAAGCGGACCAGCTGGGCCCCCAGGACCACCAGGCCAGCCAGGATTTCCAGGACTGAGGGTAAGGATGTTGACATCACTGCAGATTAGGAATTTCTCTGGCCCGTGGGGAAAACAGGGAAATGGGTAGCCTTCAGGGGGAGCATGGTACAGCTCTCTGTCTGCCAGGGACTGCTGTATGACCAGGGACAGGCCACCTCCATTCTCTGTGGCTGCAAAAATGGATAAGAAAATGCTCTTCTGTTTTGTTATTATTAAGTAAAATGATGTGCATAATTTAAGGGGGTTCTCAAAACTATTATCACCATCCGTTCAGATGGAAATGAGTTTGCTAGGCTTTGCTCCTTGGGCTGTGAAACTCTTTTCCCCCAGGACCCTGAACAAAGATTACAGAGAAGACACCATCTCTCAGTGACCTGAGCTAATAAAGCGGGATGGTTTACCATCTGTTCACTACCTGGCCTGGTACCCTTCTCACCATCTTCCTGGGGTGTTCACTCATTGTCCTCAAATGTAAAAAGAAATGCTTCTTTAGAGTCTTGAGTTTTTTTCTTCCTTTTAACATATTTTATTCTAGTTGCAAAATCATTGTTTTACAACAGCCTTTTAATGGTACACATTGGCTAAAAAATGATAAAAGCCAGGTGAGCCTGGATGCCGTCTCTTATAATTCCAGCACTCAGGAGGCAAGAGGATCACAAATTCATGCCCGGCCAGGGCAACTTAGTGAGACTCTGTCTCAAAATTTAAAATAACAACAACAACAATAACAACAAAAAAAAAAACCCTGGGAATGGAGCTCAGTCTCAAGGTCCTGTGCTCAATACTCTGTTCTGAAAAGAAAAAAAATAAGGTCATCTGGTTGCCAGGTTGTTGGTGGGACCTGTTTGCTTAGTCCTTGTCATTGCCTGTTCCTCCTCAACCATACTGTGTCCTCTGGGGACACTCATGTTCCCCAGAGCACAGGTGTGGGTGGCTCCATGCCCCTGCCAGTTCTGACGCTGTGCAGTTTCATTGCTTCCTGGTGTTTGGGGTTCCCTGGAATCAAGAGGTCGGTGTGGGGACTCAGCTGGCTCCCAAAGCCTGTGCAGCCTTATGCAAGTTCACATCCTACTACTGTGGGTAGTGACAGAACTTTTGAGATGATCACAAAAGAGTCTTGGCCAGGAAAGAGCAAGAGAGTAAAGAAGTCAAATCCATTTCTTGTCAGAAGGATGGTAGGGACTGGTCAAGGGAGCTGGGCAGGTAGAACCCCAGCCTTGAGGGGTAGAATCTACCCTGAAGGTGTCAGACAGGAGGGATGAGCCCTATAAGGCATGAGGACTATTCCCCAGGTCATGCTGAGAATTGCTGCTGCTCTGTGAGCTGGGTACAATGCTGTGTCTCTGTGGGACAGACTCTTTCACTTCTGTGCCCCAAGCATCAGGATTGGTCAGATATTTGTGGAGCGCCAGCATGGACCGAGCAGGAATAGTCAGACATAGAGGAGCCAAGTGGCCAAGCAAAGGAGTAAAACATGACTTCATGTATGATGAGACCACCCACAGGCTGTGTCCTGGAGGAGACAGGACTTTGGCAGGGAGAGACTGGAGGCCAGACCTCCCAGGACCAGTGCTGGAAGAGTCTGGGGGTTGATTCATGGACGCAGTGGGTTTGGCTAGAGGTAAGTGCAGAAAAGGAGGCGGAAGAGTGAGGAGGGAAGGGCTGCAGTGGTTCAGAGTGGAGAGTCCTGGCCACCATATACAAGGAGTGAAGCTGCCTTACGACAGAGAGGAAGGGATTATAGATGTGTGGAGGGCAGTCCTAGGAGGATATGCTTCCCCATGTACAGAGTGGCCTTGGATTTCCATAAACTTCTTGCTTTCTGAGTCATTAGGAGACTTGGGTAGCAAGTGTTACTGGGAACATAAATAACCCCACCACCCTCTCCTAGGGGGAGTCTCCATCCATGGATACCCTACGGCGGCTTATTCAGGAAGAGATTGAGAAGCAGCTGGAGAGTGAGTAGCTGGACTTCGTTGTAGCCTTGTGTGCTTCGATCCTTCATTACTGTGAAGACATAGTTTGGAAGACACCTTAGGAGCAGGTCACACATGGGCTAATGAAGTTGGGGAATACCTTGATGGCCCTTATCTGACACACAGATTTCCTCTGGAGAGCTTTTCCCGAGTGGGCATTCAGCTTCTGCTTGGTTGTCTCTAGTGACAGAGCTTGGCATCTACAAAACCACTTCTTTTGCCATCATTCACATATTCTGTGCATTCAGCCATTTATCTAACCAGTCAGGAATTTAGGAGGCCTGCTGTGGATCTGCTGACTCATCATGGTCCAGGGGAGGAGACAGATCAGTAAACTGACACAGTGACTTCAGTCCCTAAGAGAAGTTCTGTAATTTACCTTGGTGTGGATAGCACTGAAAGAGGACAGAAGAAAGTACATAAAATATCTCAGAGGCAGGGGACTGAGAGGACAGGGTTTCCTCAGGAGGGGATGTGATTTGTGAGTGGAGAGATGGGATGAGATCCCAGACTAGTGATCACAAACCTTTTAGAGTTTTCATTAATAACAAACAGCCGGCTGCAGCATGTGTACCATAGGTTCACCATCACTGCTCTAGACCTTCAGAACAATGTGATTGAAGACCCTTAAGGCAGGGAAGCTGTGGGCCTCTCCTTGAGTCAGGTGGGGTACTTTTCTTCTGCACGTGTGACCGTGGGAACCCCTACAACCTCACAAGGACAGCATGATTGTAGTCCAGGAGGGGAGGAGCGGAGCTGCTGAGCACTTTAGCCAAAGCTGGGGAGTTAGAAATGTCTGACCAGGCTTCACTCACTGTCTGCAGAGTCTGTGCTCTGCACTGCACCACCGGCCTGTCTTGAGTTATCACCATTCTCATTTCCTCTGTGCTAGACAGTTAGCAGAACAGGTCACAGAGGAGCCTGGGCAGGAGAGGAGAGGAATGCATAACTACTTTCCAGACCCAAAAGGACAAAAGCCAGGGCACATATATTCATGGGGTTATGTCTGAGTGATTTTGAATTTTGTACATGCCAGACTCTGTGCCAGGTGTGAGGACACAACAGGAAGCAAGATGACCTGCTTTCCGGCCCTCTGGGAGTCAGATGAGCATGGTCCGTGCTCTTATACAAGAGGGCAAGAGACCATGATCTGGAGCAGACAGCAAGAGAGGTGTGGGTGGGCAAGGGAGGTGAAGAAGGAAGGAGACTAGGCTGTCACAGTGGGTGCCACAGGTGGCAGGTCTAAGGGACTGGTGAGTGGAGAGCTCTGAATTTGCCTTCTGTTATTACATTTATTGGTAATAAAAATAGCCTCTGCCCTTGGAGTACCTCTAGTCAACAGCAGGAATAAGACATGGTCTGAAATTGCCTGTGTGGAAGCATCCCAGGGGCTAAGTCTCTTCCAAATGATCCTTTGAGAAGGAAGCATCAGTTCCATTTAAAAGGGCTAAATCAAGGCTCAGAGAATGTGAAAATATGCCAAGGTCACAGAAGTAGACTCCCCATATCCTCCTGGCCTGTACGTGAGCAATAGGAGGGCCGGTCAGCCAGGTCAGGAGAAAACCTGCATTGGCACAGACTTAGTGCCCAACACCAGCTCTGTCTCAGGCACACCATCCATGGGTGGGTGTTTGGACCTGGTTCTCTATGTACAAACAAGAGTGGCTCTTGATTGCCGCTAGACGGGCACTGTCTCTCTGGTCAAAGAAAGGGCACATCATGCCAGCTGTTGTATCAATTCTGTCACCTTTATGTGCTTTGCGAATGGTGTAAGCATATCCAGCCCTTCAGGTTTAAATGAAGGATCTGATGCTCAGAGCAGAAGTCATGAGGTAGCTTCCTATAAGCCACTTATCTCTCCTTAAGCCTCAGTTTACCCTACTGACAGTTACAATTGTTGCTGCTACTGCTGTTATCAATGCTACAGCTGCCAGTACTACTACTATTGCTTCTAGCAATGCTACTACTACTGCTGTCAGTACTACTACTGCTGCTACTGCTAAACAACTACTGTCATTACTATTACTGTTGCTGTTAATACTGATGCTGCTACTACTACTACTACTATTACTACTGCTAAAACTACTACTGCTGCTGTCAGCACTATTACTACTGCTGCTAGTATTGCTACTGCCAATACTACTACTACTGCTGTCGGTACCAGTACTACTGCCAACACTCCTATCACTGCCAGTACTAATACTACTATTGCTGATACTACTACCACTTCCAAAAATATTACTCCTGCTGCCATATTACTACTACTTTCAGTACCACTAGTACTGTTACTAGTGCTCCTGCTGATATTCCCTGAACTACTACTGCTGCCAGTACTACTACTACTGCTGCTCACAATACTCCTATTGATGCTGCTGCTGATCTTTCTACCCCTGCTACTACTGCTACTGACAATGCTACTACTACTGGTGCCCACATGAATGCAACTATCGCAATGAGTCCTGCTGCTGTGCTTGACACTGGGATCTCCAGAGCACAGACCCTGAGTCCTGCTGCTGTGCTTGACACTGGGATCTCCAGAGCACAGACCCAGAGCCTGGCACTGTCTTCCTGGATGATCTCATTTGCTCATCCTCACACCAGCCAGCAGAGTAGGCATTAGCTCCTTGCCTCCCTTTTACTGAAAGGGAAGCTGAGGCTGAGAGAAGCGATGTGGCTTGTCCAAGGTCATAGACAGCTGCTGGGTGGATCCTCTGTGCCTAAACCACCAGAAGGATGTGTATTGTACTGCATATGTGCACGTGAATGATGCTGGTGGTGTTGGTGGTCATGTGCAGTTGCTGTTGTCCCCTTGTTCCTACCTCTGCTCTCAGTTGCCATTCTATTCTTTGCCGTCTACCCGTTCTTCATGGGATATTTTTCTTTTTCCCACCCATAGACAAACTTGCCTACCTCCTGGCCCAGATGCAGCCTGCACATGTGAAAGTCTCACAAGGCAGACCTGGACCACCAGGACCCCCTGGAAAAGATGGTCTTCCGGGCAGGGCAGGGCCCATAGGGGAGCCAGGCCGACCTGGCCAAGGTGGTCTGGAAGGACCCTCTGGGCCAATGGGTCCCAAAGGTGAGTAGGCACAAGGAGGAACTGCTTCATGGGTCACACAAGGCTGGAAGGAGCCGAGAGTGTGAGGTGTAATTGCCCTATCATCATTCTGTCCTTATTCCCTGCAGCTTGGGACACTCTGGAGTGTGGCATCATGTAATTTTTTCATATGTTTAAGAGGTTTTCATACTTAATATTATTGCAAAAGTATGCTTTTGCTATGAAGATTGAATCTGTTCCCTCTTGCTTTTTTGTTCTCTCTCTGTCTCCTTTATTTAAGTTTGAGGAGTCTAAGACAAAATACTCTCTTCTTCCCTCACGAAATTTTGAGCTAAGTAGGGGTTGCAATATTCTTCATTTCTTGGAGATTAGTGCCAGCTTTGAAATTGGATCAGGTGGTGTTGATCTCCACCTAGCCGTGGCTGCTGACTGTCCTGCTGTAGGGCGGAGGGGCCTCCCTACCCAGCAAGGCCCTGGACAGCAGCAGAGAGCAGAACACAACTTAATCCATCTTAATCCCCCTTGCCCTGCAGGCAGGTTAGAATGCTGTCCTCAGTAGGCAAGTGGGGATGAAGAGCAGAGAGGAAGGACCCTAAACTAAAGCCACCAGCTTGAGACTCCTCCACACTGGTCCTCAGCTCCTGTGCACAAACTCACACACACACACGCACACACACACACACACACACACACACAGTCAAGCATGGATGGGAAAGAAATATGTGGTGTCACTTTTGCTGTTGCTGGGTCACTTATAGTTGGGGCAATGGATGACTGTAATACCTTCCTCTTTCATTTCCTTATAGTTATTCACTTATTCTCTGTGTTTCTCAGTTGAAAGGCTTTTTGTTAGATTTGTGTGTCCTCATCCTACCCATATTTGTTAATAACATGAAATAATTGTTCATAAAAAGAACGAGACAGAGGCATAGAAAGTGCCAGAGCATGGCAGAATCCTGACCAAATATAACAATTAAAATAATAGAAATGAGTGGTCTAAAGATCCCATGAACTAGTAGCAGAATTTAAATGATGCATGAGGAAGATGTTTTGGAATCTATGTGGTGAAAAACTGACTGATTAAAAAAAAGTTGAGAGAGAGAGTTTAATCCAATCTGTACAAGCTTAAATCTAGTACAGTCTAAATACTGGAGGGGAAATGACCCTTCTCTCCTCTGAATGTCTTTTTTGTGTCTATAATGGTACTAGGGGCTGGGGATTTAGCTCAG